GGTAAGAAGCTTGCATTTCCTTAACGTGCCATTTTTGTTCGTGAAGTCACTCTCTTGCCTTTCAAACCGCATTTTATTTCAAATAAGGGTAATCCTCAGCATTTTGAACCATAGAAATGTATTTAAACATACACCTACAAACTTAAGCTGAACACACACGATTTGCATATGTACACGTATATTTTACTTTAATTGCCTTAGCTCACGAGAAGCGCATGGAAAAATTTGTCATTCATTCTAGATAGTTGCCATGAACTTTGTTTGGGAAAGGTTAACAGTTTATGCACTGTAATCTTTTAATTCCCCAAGTAAGTATGAGAGTGCCCTTCGTTTTTGTAAATTTTGGTGATTTTTACTGATTTTTCCTTACCGGCAGATTAATGAGATAGTGGGAAAGGATGTGCTCGTACATATTACAATATATATAGTATACTATTTGAAAATACCTTTAACAAGAAAGAATAGCTGTCGTCAGCAATACTCTTTATATCTTTCATGACCATACATATTTACAGTATTTCATTTTAGAATTGAAGATTAATTCTCATATCTGAAAAATTGTTTGGAGAAGACTATATGTTAAAGTTTTCCAATTTCGATGATTTTCAGTGTCAAAGTTTAATTGTGGCATACGTATGCATAATTCCGAGTTTCCCTACTCTTTTGCCGAATTTTTTACCCACAACCTCTCATCTGAACAAATCGGTTAATACTCTGATTTTCAAAAATTTCAGTGTCAATGCGTAAATCAATATACATATGTGTGTAAAATTTGACGTATTATGACCCAAAATTTGAAATCTGAAAAATCATCGTTTAAATGTAACGCTGCATCTGTGCATCTGTTGCTGAAACACCTCGAAAACATTTATTAGGAATATTTTCTTCTTTTTATTGAATATGTTGTAGGAAACGAAAATTAGAAAAATAATGTAATTTTTTGAAGTTGCCAAATGTTGGGTCGGGGCACAGTTTCATTCCATACTTGCTCCAGTTCGTTGGTGAAAATTAGTACTTTTCATTTATAATTAGTATTAATTTAGCATAAAAGATAATAAAATGAGTTGAAGTGAAAATAATTGAAAATGTGTCCCTCTGTCTAGCATTTTTTTTTCGGAATTCAAAATATTTTCATATGTAGTCAGAAAAAGCTGTTAAAGTTGAACTATCTTGCTGTGTCAATACTTTAGCTCATCACGTATATATGTATATGTAATATATTTATGTATATATTATAAGTAGATTGCAAAGGAAAGCTTGCGGCACGTTATTCCAAAATCGACTGGTTTCACTTCTACAATTCTCGACATATCAATGTCTTGCAGGCAAAGGGCGTGTCATGACAATCTCTGCACGAGTCAGTTTAAGTAAAAATTACTGAAACACACCTGACTAATTTATATTTATATTGTATATTGCCACGATGGTCGAATGGTTAGCATTACGCAGTACTATTCAGCAGGGCAGGGTTCGAGTCCTGGTCCGACCAACATCCAAAGATAAATTAATTTTTCTAATTGCGGTCGCCCCTCAGTAGGGAAGTTCAGACCCTATGAGTGTATTTCTGATACGAAATAAAATATGTAATTGGCGCTTTGAAACTGCTTAAGCGATTTTCCGCTGAGCTCCCCGTCCAATGTGTGGTTTTGCGTCTTGATGTTTTTCCAACAAATAGAGGGACCTACAATTTATGCTAAGCCGCCTCCGAACGGCATAAGGTTTTTATGAGTAGCATTTATTTCATGTCAGAAACACATTCGGAGGGGTTGACATTAGAAAATTAAACTTAATTTTTTATTTAAAATAATTTACTATAACCTTTGGATGTTTGTCGCAAGGGGATTTGAACCCTAGCCTTCCGAATGGCAGTACGCAATGCTAACCATTCGGCTACTGCGTCCGCCATGAAATGAAAGCTCATCATAAAAAACCATCAGCTGTTCGAAGGCGAGTTAGTATAAACTGTAAGTCATTCGATGTGTTGAAAAAACATCAAGACGCAAAAAAATAAAATTGGAAAAGGAGCTCGGCCGGAAATCGCTTCAGCGTTTACAAAGTGACAATTATATATATACATGTTTATATTGTATGTATATATTTATATATAGGAGAGCACTGAAAATCCAGAGTAATGCATTCAGACCAAAGCAATTTTTTTTCAGGAAAAGAACTCTTTGTGGACGAAGAACTCGTTGTGTAATCTTCTCTATTAAAAAGTTCTGACAGCCTCTACAAAAATAAGCTCACATAGAGCATGTCGCTGGATATTTAATTGCAACACAGACGGACCAAAACACGTTCCATTTAAACCCTCGATGGAGTTTATAGCTAAAACACAGCAGTTGGAAATGATACTTAATGGCAAGAATGGAACACGAATACAGTGGTTAAAGTCTGTACAAGTTTGTTGTACTTGAGCGAGTCAAGTGTCTAAGTTTCAAATTAAAGAAACTTTTTTTTTAATGTCGTAAGCATTTCCACAGCAATACCTTAATTAAAGTTCAATTTTTAGTAAATGAGCTAAAAGTGTTAGTTTAACTTCTTAACATTTCTTGACATTTGATATACATAGATATAATAGTGCACATGTACGCATCTTTATGTTTATTAATGTGAAGAATAGTTTGGGCTGCCACAATTTCCTTAATTTTTTTTTGCACGCAAATAATTTTTAACATTTCCTAGATAATAAAGAAACGCCCCCGAAATAAAATACAGAAATGTCAAAGCAAATCTAAATTAACATACTATAAATAAAATTTTTGTTTATAAAAAGCATGGTATTTTGGAAAAATGGTTACTGTTCAGATACAGGAATGAGGAGCCAACCTTCAATGAACTTATGTAACTCACCACCGTCACAATATAAAAAGAAAGTTATACTATATATTTTCACAAACATGATTACATATGTCTAATAATGCATTTTTTTTTATAGAAATATTATTAATATTTTCTGAATGGAGTGAAAGAAGGAATGACTCGAGAGAGGAAAAAAACCGAAAATGCTAGCAATTATCAACAATTTTCAAACTCGTTCTCACTATTTGTACCTTCTAGATATTTTTATAGCGAACCGTCACTACGTAGTATACATATTTATTACTCTTCATTATTGTGCCAAAGAGCAATTCAAGCTTTTTCCAGTATTTTAAACAAATATGCACATATGTTCTGATTTTGACATTTTGTCGGACTTTTCTTAAATTTTAAAATTTATTTATGAAGAAGGTTGAAATAATTAAAATGCTAGAAATTCTAAAAATTTAAATCTCATCGAAATTTTGTTTGTGGCGTCAGCTGCCACTGTGGCATTGCTCGAACAATTTTTTTTTTATTATTTTGCCCATGAAATCTTTAAGTAGTTTCAAATCTATAATCTATATACATTCTTTTATTGTATTGATTTGCGCTAAATGTGCCGAATTACGTTTTGCAGGTGTAATAAATGGTCATTGTATTAATCTTTATTTCTTAGTAAATGTCTGATGTTTGACAGAGTTCCCTATAAACAATATCATCATTTTCTCAAGTGTGTAGATGTCAATACGTAGGTAAAAATAAGTACTTATGATGATAAGCTCCACTTAAACTCTCTACTGATATAATATCTTTTACTGAACGTTACATATTTTAACCATTTACTATAGTTTGGCCTTTAAATTAGAAACTATCATGCATATGGACGTAGAACGAAAGAAAAGTAAAATAAATATTTTCGTCTTCAGAATGTCGTTTAGGGTATGAGCTTTAAAGGTAATAATTGACTTTCAGTAGGTGCGGTCAAGAGCAAATTTTAGCAGATGACATACTCGTGCACATCTATTTGCATATATGTATGTATATATGTTTGTATAAGTGTAAAGAAATGTGACATAACGTTTTCACAAACTTAACTTACTTTAAAATACAACACTCAATAATTTATTATTATAATTTCGCATTTCTAAGCATTTACATACTTATATATGTATGTATATTTGAATACATATGTATGTATTTGTATCTGTTTTTTCTTAGGGCCTAATTACAAAATAGAAAATAATTATAAATACATATATGTATGTATACACAAGCAGATTTCCACAGCTTTTATTTATTCAATTTCATTTCAGTCAATTACTTTTGTAGCCCTTCCAAGCTAAACAATTTAATTGCCACAATGTATACAAATACATTTTATTGAAAAATACAAGAGAAACTATGAATATCTTAAAATTCTTCACAAAATGTGTGCAATATATACATACATACATACATACATATATGCATACATACATAGATATCTATTCCGCAGCAGCTTAAGTAAAAAAGTCTGTAGCTCTCTTTTACTTTGTAAATTTCAAATATCTCCTTACATATTGTTTATACATTTGTATTTTCATAAACAGTGGTGGATATTGTTTTTTTTTTTCAAAAATAATGTTTTCTATTTAAATATTTGTTGTGTATAATATTATTATATTTTAGTGGTTTTATGAAAATATGTGCTCGTGCATGTGTAATATAGTATATATGTATGTATGTGTGATATATTGACAAGCTTTAAGCTTATACTGATATTATTTACGAATTTTTGAATGTACATTTTAATTATATTAAATATTTTATATGCATATACATATGTATGTACATATATGTATATGAATTTATATACCTAACAAAAAAAAACCACACATATACATATTTTTTAATTTGTGTTATTTGACATGGTCTCGTCAAATTTAATAAGTGTATTTTTGCTAGCATAAACACTTTTTCATTTCGTCACTGCGTCTCACTGTTTTTTGTTTATACATATATGTATATGTTATATGCATTCATTCATTTCAATTTTCTTCTAACACAACCAACAAATATGTAAATAAACAAACGTGCTACTTTATATTTCCAATTATGTATGTAGGTCATTCGTTATTATGCCTTTCCTTTGTCTCAGTTTCATCACAATAAACAGTTTTCAGAACTTAAGCAAATACGAAATTTAAATATTTCTTTACCTCAAGTTATGCGCGCGCGTTTCTTACTTTTGTACTAAATTTATCTACAGTGGTCTAGCTGTTGCGATACACGCCCGTATACAAATGTATCTAAACGGTCACTGAGAACGTTGGTCAAAACGAAATCGCTTTTAAAGATTATGAAAAACTTGCTAGTAGTAGCTACGGGCATATCATCAATCGAGTAATAAGCAAAACACCTCAGATTAGTACGAGTGTCTACTCTTTAATAGTATACTACGCAGAGTGGGTGTCGCTCACTTAATAGATTCTCGATTGGAAAACCTTTATAGATGCATACATATGTACATACGAACAGAAACGAGTATGTTCATTGTAAATTTTTATGTGTATTAAATATTTGTTTGCCTGAATGTAAGTTTTATTTATGTGAATACTTTTGGACAATCTCACCAATTTCTCACTAACATATAAACATATGCATGATAGGGTGGTCCAAATAAATTTTATTGCCGAAATAGAAAAGTTACGGATACGTAAAATGAGACACACATATTATCTAAGGGGTATTTTTGAAAAGGAAATACAACGGTTCTGTGAGTTCAATATTATGGCCAAGAGTTTAGTTTTTTCACCAAAAGTATCTCTCAATAAATTGATAGTTTCGTTGACTACATGACATGTAGCGCTGTCCTGTTGGGGTCAAAGGTCGTCGGCAACAACATTCTCTAATTTATGCTCAAAAAAGTCATTAATCACAGCTTTATAGTAATGTATTTCCTTATTGAAAACCACACCTCTATAAAAAAGACACCCTTTACATATTATGATACATTTATGTATTTTTACAACAACTATACCATGCACAAAGGCCGTATTGACTTTGTTCACTTGAGAAATTTGAAGCATGAAGTCTCTAGCCTGTAAGTTGTGAGTCAAAAGTTCCTTTCATACAGCTTTTTGCCGCTGTCTTAGTGTCCGAACTTTATTAAAACACCCGCCATGTTTATCGGATTCGCCTGGTCATTATTCAGCGAATTTTTCCCTATGACTAAATTTTTAATAACATTCCAACTTTTAAACGCCGAGAATAATCTCAATGACAAATCCGTGCCACAAGCTCTACTCGTATATCAGACAGAGCTATTTCAATTCGATTGTAAAAATTAAATATAAGGAAATATCAATTGATCAGTATTCAAGTCGATAGAGTCGAAATCATAATTCACGCCCGCATAACATTCTGCAGGATTATACACTTATGGATCTGTGTTCGTTGAGAAGTGTCAGTAAATAAAAAAAAAATAAGAAAAGAATTAAATTTAATGAGTTTTCACCGAACAGGATATAGCAATTAGCAGTGGTAACAGAGAAGTGGAATCATCGCCCCTATACCACCGAGCCCAGGTTGATGAATTAGGAGTTAAGAATGTTGAAGGCAAAAAATTAGAATATACTATTATTTCTTGTACAACGCAAGGTGATTTTGAATTTCTATAATTTACTAGAAAGCAGTGTCGACCAAAGAAACCGTAAAACAATGGGAGTCAATCCTGTTCGGTGAAAACTCAGAAAATTTCTTTCTGTGGAGAGACTAATATCTATGTACATCGCGAATAACACTTTTCAAAATATATTCTTTATTTAACTCAAACGTTTCATCATTATTTTTACGATGACTGGGTATATTACAAAACTTCTACGCATCAAAAAGAAATCCTTTATTTTTGAATATTTAGCCATTTTTTAAATTCACAATAAAGTGCAGTTGAACATTGCAGATAAACAAATTTCAGTTTACCATGTTTAATGGTACAATCACAGCTCTGCAACTGACAGTTAAGCCACGCTGCTTGACGGAAAAAAACTACGATTCAAATACAGTGAATTGTTATTATCTGTTTCCATATTCGTCATCTGCGGCTCCAAAAATCCTCGAGTATTGAGTTTCAATTTGATTAGTTAAAAAAAATCCGTCGCAATGGATCTACCGTTTTGAATATTGAAAAAACCAACACCTATGCACAAACAGCGACCTCAAAAAACCACCCGAGTAACGCGCTTCAAGTGATTTCGTAGTTGACTGCCATATTGGATGGAGTTTTGAAAAAATGAATTTGGGTTCGAGCGCAGTGTAATTATTGTTTGAGTTTTATTTAAACATTCATTGTGAGCGAAAGATATATCGCTTATAAAATAACAAAGGTGATTTCCTTTCACGGTCTTGAGGGAGGTCTTTTGACAGGATTTTAAAAATATGACTGTAGTGGGGTCCAGCTCATAGCAGAATAGTTTGTGACCCGCCCGCCAATTGCCTTGTTTATTGTCAGCAAAGTTTCTTTGTATTTTCCACTGAAGCTGCCGGTTAATGCTTTGAGAATTTAGTTTCGGCTCTGTAACTTTGTCGGCCGCGTCATTCGAGTGGTTAGCATTGCGTACTGCCGTTCGGAAGGCTCGGGTTCAAATCCTCGTGCGACCAACATCCAAAAGTTGTAGAAAACTAATTTAAATAAAAAATTCAGTTAAATTTTCTAAGTGCAGTCGCCCCTCTACAGGAAATGTCAACCCCTCCGAGTGTATTTCTGACATGAAATAAAGCTCCTCATAAAAAACCCATCAGCTGTTCGGAGGCGGCTTATTATAAACTGTAGGTCCCTCCATTTGTTCGAAAAACATCAAGACGCAAAACCACAAATTGGAGGAGGAGCTTGGCCGAGAAACGCTTATGCTGTTGCAAAGCGCCAATTATATATTTACTATTATATTATATATTTTGTAGCAATTACAGTCGTATGAGGAGTCGAGTAGCTCACGGTCTATCCCTTCAACCTCGGTGCTAATGACGGATCCTCAATGTCCGATAGTAGCACTGAAATGTTGACTGTCATGAGCTTTTGACGGATCCAGTGCTAGAAGAACCGTTCTCGCGCTGGGCCGACTTTGGTTGAGGCCATAGAAGAGTTGACTAAAGGAGCTCACCCATTTCTTCGAGTCCGACGAACGCGTCCGGTGGTCCACGGAAAAGATGCATGTCATTCGATACTATAATAATATGGGTAAGTTGTTCTATGTTAGCGTCAGCATTGGTAGACGATGCTGTTAAGAGACCAATATTCGCAACTGTTACATCTGGCGAGCTATGGCAATTACCCACAATTCTGGTGGGAGCGTCGTCATTCATGGTGCAGGATGTCGATTCGACCAGCATTGTCTCCTGCACCGCGGCTATTTATCGGCAGGTGCGCGTGGCACATCAGTTGAAATTCCGCTAGATTGGATGCCACGCGATGGTGTTGGTTGGCGGCGTTGTTACCGTTGTAGGCGAAGGCAGACTCTTACAGCACGGGGCAACGTTGAGCGCCATTGCACTGGTTGCCTCGAACCCTGATGGAAGAATAGTGGAGTCGCGTATGACACGCAGCAAAAATTATCTGTCGGACCAAGGTTGGGTTCGACGCCAGCTCTGATGAGAAGCACTTGGAGCAACCATGCTGCGAGATATTGCTTCCGCGATCAACTTAGACTAATGTTACTTGTTGATCTAAACGGGGTTATGTCGTCGAAAAGTGAATTTTTTCATAGGTGCGATATGTGTAGATTAAGCATATATGTATATACTATTTTTACCCAATTCAAATTAAACACCACACATATTAGAATTAATATTTTCACTTTTAATGTTTATCAGTATTACAAAAAATTCAAAAAATATATTTAAAGCAAAACAAAATAATTTTCGTTTGCACTAAATAAAAGCCGTCTCCGGGATCAGCTTCTTATCACAAAAAGTTAAGAAAAGCAATAGAGACTTTTTAAAATCCCATTTGGCATCTTCCAGGAAACTAAAAAAAAAGGTTAGAATACATATTGAAATATATTTACATATGTATTTATGTATTTAGAATAAATATTTTTTTCCTTACCGAGTACACCATACTGATTTAAGGTTTGTAATTTCCTGAAACATAACAATCAAAGCTTCCTGATCAGAAACTGTTACTTCACTGTCGTTATCTTGGTATTCCTTTTTGGAACATTTAAATGCAGTTCTAGTCTGGTGAAGTGTTGGATTAAAAATACTCAGCTGTTCATTAACAATTTGATATTTAACAGCTCTGTTGAGAATGCCCTTTTATTAGGATATGCCGATTAGAGAGCAGTATGTCTTTGAAAAAATATATATATATTTACCATACGCTTCTCCACTGGAATAATCACAAATGTTCGTGTAAATCCCATTAATATGTCATTATCCATCATGCTTGGTGCTAAATCATAAAATACTCCTGAAACAGTTATCATTATCATATTTTCCTATAAAACGAAATATTATTAGTATAATTAAATATATATTATTTCACATATTATATTCAGAGCTATAAAGATAATAAAGATAAAACTTACTTAAGAAAAAAATTACTTCAGAATAACTGCATCTATTACCGATAACCATGCATGTACAATATGTATACAGAAAAATAAAATTGTATTTCATCCATGAAACAAAAAAAATAAAATTGACGATTTCAACTAGCTATGCAATATACAGTCGTTACAACTATTACCACAACTGTTCCACATTATCAAAGTATACATTTTTCTTTTGTATTTTAGAATATAAAATTTAATAGGTATATAATATATCAGTTTATTTGTCATTTTCGTTTTTGTCCGCAATGTCAAGCCAAGAGACAATTCGTTTTTTTTTTTTTAATATTTGCATTTATTAGAAAAAATATCAGATTATCTAAAAATACATACATACATGCACACATTTTTCTTTTAAAATACTTTTTTTTCGAAATACATGTGTATGAGATATACGACCGCTATAGAAAGTTATCGACTAAGCCAGGAAATGAATTTACATGGCTTCACTTAGTTTCTCCCATTTCCGCAAGTGGCAAAAAGAAAAATTTAAACGTGAATAGTGCCTCGTTAATTGAGCGCAAGAAGATTCTGAAGCTATTATTTGATTCTCACGTTTACTTGATCAAACTTTACAAATTTTACATGTTTTTTTTTTTAAACTGAGAGACTTTCTTTTTTTATTGAATTTCAATCTGTAACTGTTTTAGTTAAAAAATATTACTTTGGAAAATCTGTATGTTGCGCCTCCTTTATCTTAAAATAAATAGTAGCTATATCATTCCATTCTATTCTTAAAAACACATGTATGGATATTGACAAATACATTATTAACCTAATGCTGCTATTTTAATATATTTTAAACGGTTTGCAAGGTAGAAAACTATTTTTAAGGTGTTTTCTTCCAAGTAAAAATAAAATTCACTTTATGAAAAAAGTTGCAATACTTACATTGTAAATCGTTGTATCTGTATTAAAAGTTAGCGTATCATGTAGCATGCTGGGTAATTCAAAAAGAACTTGCATAATTTGATTTGTGCCCAGATGTACGCTTGTATGTGCACGGGAAAGGTCCGATATTTTTAAAATGTTGCGGCTGTTTTCACAGTATTTAGATATACGTTTAAAATTCTGTGTTGTCATTTGCGCAATGCGATAATTGAACGAAGTAGTAAAAATTGCATTTGGATGATATAGTTCTGAAACAAAATTTCATTAATAGCAATTAAAAAAATAAAGGAATGATCAATAGTGCAACTTACCCTTTAAACTCTGCCGCTCCTGAGAATCAAATACCTTAAAATAATGTGGTACAAATTCGTCAACGAACTCGTAGCCTCTTACGTCGCAAAGAAAATTCTTTTGATAGTTTAAGCTACCTTTATTTTTAATTTCAATGTTATCCTGTGGAAATTTTTTTAACTTCATTTTATATCGTTGATTGTAGATAAAGAAATTATATAATGAAGAAAAATTTATATACAACATATGTATGTTATAGAACGGTCGCTCTACCTGCATATCCGTTCATCTTGTATAAAAATACATTCACACATATGTATCTATATACATCTTATCAATACATGTATGGCTTTGGTAGTTATAATAAATTGGCAAATAACAGTTGGAAACAACTACAAAACACGATATATTTATATATTTGTATTACTCTTATACTCTTACGTGTTATCAAATTATTTTAATGTCATCGGTTCCTAATAAGTCTGCCAAGCTTAAGTTAAATTTGGTAGTTTAAAGTGAGTCGAAATTGCGGCCAAGAGATTGGGTTACAAACTAACAAATGCAAAGTCGTTCCAGTTTATTTGCAAAACAATGCTTGAGTTTAAGTTGTTACAATTATTTTGTTATTTTTGAAGAAACGTGTATCTAAGTTGACTGGACTTAAAAACTTACCAATTTTGTCAGCTCAGGAAAATGCCTTCGCACAGCTTTTATATATTCACCAGCGAACGTATATTTAGAGCACAAGGGATTACCATCCAAACGTAAAGTCTTCAAGCCAAGCAAAGAAAGATCTTTGATATCTTCCAAGTCCAATATCCAGTTATTACCCAAATCTATAGCTTTTAAATTACTCATTAAACTCAATACTTTCGACATATTAGCATTGGTAATTTTATTATGCGCCAACCGCAATTCTACGCAACTCGTTAGAAATTTTCGCGATGCTTGCATAAGAACTCGACTAAGAATTTTTGGTGAGCTTAAATTAATAACAATATTTTCTAGACCTATAATTTGAATTTTTGTTTTATTCTATCAAATGGAAAATTTTAATAAGATTTCGTTTACCTTCAATATTCTGAAATTTGTCCAAATTTAACTGTCTATTAATACCATTGAAACGACGAGTGAGAGCCTTATCAATACAGTCTATGGGTTCTAATTGGCCATGTTTAAACGGTCTAATGTTCATAACCAAATAGTATCTCAAAGTTTTATCAATTTGAATTTCTGAAAGAGCAGAATGATTATCAAAATGCGTGCTTAAACGGGGAACTTTCATCTCCATTTTACAAACATCAACTAAGAATTTCAGTTGATCGAAGCATTGGCGCAAAAGAAATTGATGTTCGCCACCGGCAAACTACAAATAACACAAAATATATTATTATAAACTCATAACAAGTTTATATTGCAACGTAGAATTTACCTTATAATAACAGGGATATATGTCCGATAACGTTGCCGATACAGTAATGAAAAAATAATCAAAGATTTCATCCTTTGAAAATTCATGTTCCGGATCCGGTATCTGTAATATGCAAATGGTATTACTCTTAGTTGATTTTAAATCGTTATTAATCATTTACCATGATTGAATGCCAGTCACTACTGTTTTGAAATTTATGCATAGTTTCCTTATTTGTGATATCAACACGAAACCCTTCACAGTTACCGTCGTCCTCGTAGTCTAGTGGTGTGTAGTCTTTTGATAGATTTTCAGCAGGTATGCCATCCTTAAAAAGCAACAATATTAAAAGAGCTCATTAACGGCAACAGCTAAAGCCAAAGCAAATATATTTCACACCCTTACAATTTGCTTAAAATTTTTTAAAATAGGCCGTAAACAGTCGGGATAGTTACTGGCAGTCGTCACTGGGTTACCAGCTAACAAAATTTCATCGGCTTTAACATTGCTCAAATCTCGACACAAACGAGACGAAGAAACAAGCTATAATTATAAGTTAAACATCAAGCACATATATGTATATAGGTTATGTGGATTAAAAATGTTCAATCACTAGCAAACTATTTTTTAATATATATTATTAAGATTATGTAGTGCATACTACACACGAATAAATATTTACTTTATTTCTCCTTAAATCCAAAAATGCAAATTCCACGCCGGCAAAAACGGTCAAAGGTGCTAAGGTGGTAATGCAATTGTCACTAAGAATCAGTCCATTCACAAGGCGAAATTTTTCATCATTGCGATAAATTAGATTGCAAATAGTGTCAAATACACCGCGGTTACCCATGTTAACTACTAAGTCAACAAATTCCGGATTCGAGTTGAAACGGCATAAGTTTAAAATGCCTTCTACACCATTTATGCGCTCCATACATGTATAAAGACGGTTAAGAGCTTCCGTAAGCTTTGTGTGGGGTGAAATTTGCCCAAATTTAAATTCTCCCACATTGAACTGCATCTGAAGTTGTACAAATGATGCGTCAGCCAGCTGAATAAGTAGATTTTGCTCAAACAGTTTATTAATAGCGGCTTTACACTGCCGAACTAGAAAACGGTCTTCTTTAGAACCTCGCTGTAATATAAATATATCAATGATTAGAGCATATAAGTTATAGTAAGATCGGGACTAGGAGAACATATTTATCTCGAATATTAATCTCATAGACAAAGAAATCCATAGCCTGTGTATATATTTTAATAGTTCTGTTGTTATTGTTACTCGATTAATTTAAGTTTAATGATGTGAGAACAGCGATTTCCTTAAGGTTAAGTTAGCAAATGGAAGAGTAAAGAACTGAAAACGGGTATTATTATGTAAAGGTTTTAATTAACAACAAATACCCGATACGCAATGGGAAAGAATTCTTCGCCTTCAACAACAGCAAAAATAGCGTCCAAAATTTCCTGAACACCATCACGGCCACAAATTTTTCCGTGATGTTGAACTATAATTTGATGCCACACAAAGCCTTGTGCAAAAGCTTTAGGATCATATGAACTGCACTTTGAATAGGTTTGCGTATTTTTGTAGCTCAATTCGATTGGCAAATTGTTTGGAAAGTGGTAGACTTCATCTAAAAAGAAAAAGATCTTTCGGTTTAATAGTCAATAATTTGTTGTTCTACAAACCTGGTCGTGAAATGGACATTGTTGCGCACTTTCTTATTGTTTTTGTCACACAAAAAACAAATTCTTAGCTAAAACTTTAATTGTATCATAAATAAGTAAATAAATACATCAAATGTAATATAAACAATACGATTTAAGCGGGTGATTTCAAAAACAGCTGAGTTATTCCATACATAGGCATTAATTATTAAAGATTCAACCTCATTGAACGCAAATGCGTGCGCATGATGAAGTATTGTAACGAATCGTGCTAAAAACGCCTCAATGATTATCCAAATACTTCGAATTCGATTATTGAAGTGTTAAATAAGACACCAAATGTGGGACACGATTTCTTAACTGCGAAAATTTAATCAATGCTAATATAACTTCCATATGCCAAAGTTGTCGCCACAACGAGCTCACTTTGTAACTGACTAATTGCTATGTGGGACGCTCCCTTATATACCCCGTAAGCTCGTGCTCAGCTCAGCAAATTTCTTACTATATATACTCGAAACCGAACATTCCATACTCGGAATCTCTTTTCATCTGTTATTCGCATGTGGCTTTTTTGCCACAGTTTGTGTAAGCTCTTAATCCTAATTGAAGAACCAAGACATATTTGAAATTTTTTTTATGAAAAGTTTAGGGTTGGTATACGAAGGTCTACAATTACCAAAAATATAAAATTTTTCGCGTGCAAATTTATAGTTTAAATATTTAAATGCGAAGAACCTGCTTCTGTTTTACTTTTAAACTTACTAACAAATCTTGGTTAGGCAGGCACTGCCACTCCATTAAATAATCTAAAAACTAACAAAACAAAATAAAGCGAGAATTTGTGTGGAAATAAAAGAGTTTTACTTAAAAATACTGCGCAATGCGAAACCGGTGTAGGTCCGGTCCGGGGTTACAATCTAGAGCGCGGCCGCGGGTTTTTTTATTTGAGTGGCAACAATCGGTTTCTTTACTTATTTAATTTTTCTGCAAGTGTAGTTTGCATATTTTTTGGAGGCATTGCCTCTCTCGCAATGTGTTGTTAGTGTGTTTATAAGAAAAGTACAATCAGACTCCTTGTATAGAAAAAGTGTAACATTAAATGTTAATTACTTTTAAGCCATAAACTTAAGCGTGGTAAAATTTATAATATTTGGTGATTGTAGAACTCCTACTACCAACCCTGAACATTTCCACACTAAAGTCAAACCGCCCTTTGTCATCATTTCAATTCAAACAATAATTGGGACACTAAGTAATGAGCATACTCCATGTGATCTTTGAATGGTATGCTGGCCTTAGTTCCCTTTCACATGCGTCACGTCCTGCTTTCAAGTCTGCTAGTTAGTAGTCGAGCGATGTGAGTAGAAAGGGGAAGGCTACAGATACCTCGATACAGGCAAGTACAGTAAGTGTGAAAGCAAATTGAAAACACAAAAGATAATGCCAAAAAATTGCTTTCAAGACTTGACGCATATAAAAGGGGACTTATTTTATAGAATTGATAATTCGCCTTATCATACAAAAACTAATGTGGAGACCCGTGCGAACTGCGCAAAGTATGCATTTTAATGGCTTACTACTACTAGAAATGTGCTGTTATTCAATTAGCTTATTGAAATAAATACTCAAGAACAATTGCTAACTTCACTTTTTCGAGTATAAAGTCCTTTGGTCTCGCATTGGCCAAAAATTAAATTTTCTTTGTTGTTCTCCACCAGCTGGTTGCGGTAGGGTTACTAATCTCAATAAAATTACGTTTCTACAACAATATTTTCATAACTAATTGTATACCATTGTATACATATATAGACCTTTATTTCACAGTTTACTAACCTTAGTAAATATAATTGGCGCTTTGTAACTGCTGAAGCCGAGATCCTCCTCCAATTTCTGGTTTTGTGTCTTGATGTTTTTCCAACAAAAGAAGGAAGGAGGAGAAAGCTACAATTTATACCAAGTCAGTGATTTATTTCATGTCAGAAACACACTCACAGGGGCTGACTTTTTTATTTCGGTTGGCTTAGCTTATAGTTAAAAATATATATATTGGCTATTTGTAAGAGCTTTTTCGCCTTTGGTTTTGATGGTTTTCTATCAAATGTAGGGACGTACATTTAATATTAAGCACTGATGGTTTTTTTTTACGAGGAGGCTTTATTTCTTGTCCGAAATACACTCGGTGGACATTCCCAGCCGAGGGACGAGTTTCAAAAATTCCCCCTTCGTCACCTCATATCTAGGAACAAAGTTATGGAAAATAAGAGCGTAAAGTGTAAAAAATTATTTAATTGAGTTATAAGTAAATATCATACAGATTTTTTAAAACAGTGCCGAATTCGAATTTTTTGTCTATGAGTCGTTGGCGGAAGATGGGTATATAAATGCCGATTTGATCTATTACATTTAATAAAAGCGATAACCGAGGGAATATACTAATTTCAAAAGATCGGACACGATTTAATTTTATCATAACTAGCTTACGTTTTAGTCAATGAATTTTTTATTGGGTATTGTAGTTCATTTCATATTAATTTGCGGTTCATATGAATACTGAAAGAAGATTAGGTCATATATCCTATAAATAATAAATATATGAGGCAAGTGTAAATGATAATCTTTGTCATGTTTCAATATTAAAAGGATAACAAAGTGTTGTCAGTAAATTCATACAACGCTTGTAAAGAAAAGGGGTTCATCAGCTGTTCATTGTTTACTTTTTTAGGACTGATATTTTCATTCATTATTTCAAATATTAAGCGAATAGGATCTGAACCGGTAGGTATAAAGAGTTAATAACCTAACCCCTCTGGGTATCAGTACCTTATCTTATATTAATTTCTTCCCTCCTTATCTTGTCTTTAATTGAGTGAGGACTTGAAGGGAAGAAAGGCTCTGGTCCAGTAAAGGAAACTGAGCCGGCTTCTCTTGCAAGTCTAGGCGAGTTCCAAAACGTCAAAATACTTTATAATGATGCGGTTGCTCAATCTGCGTTCTGTAAATTTGCCTTGCGACTATACTTTGTAAACTCTGACATTTTGGAACGCAAAAGTTCTAATAAATTGCTTTTCGGTGGAATGGCTAAAATATGGTACAGACCCAGAAAAGTAATATAACGTTGGCCGTTGTTGTTAAGAATTTATGATAAAATAAAGCATCACAAATCTTAGTTACGGGCAGTTTGCTTTTGTTTGCGCATTTATAACATTACCGATGCATTTTGAAACTTGATACATCGTCAAAGTTTGCACAGTTGCATTTAGGAATGCCTGACAATGTATGGTTGCCTTGCAACTGACGCTCTGGAACTCACCCTCTATCTGCTATTTCATTTCCTTCAATACCTACATATATGTGCTGGAATCCAGATGAGTTGGATTTTGTCCGTTCGCCCACTTTAATGAGAATCTGAACATATTCCCATACCATTTAAACCTTTTTTATACATGATGATATTGCTCTCAGTGCGGCCTGACAGTTACTGCAAATTACTAAATGTTGGTTAACCATTTTCCCATGAGCCCTGCACATGTAATGGCGAACAACTCTGCTAGAAAGATGTTAGTTTATTTCCCCATGGGTATTGATATCTTTGTGCTGGCGCCCGTGATCCCGCCATCAGTACCACATATAAGAGTTTGGTTTTGTTTCTTTCTGGAATATGTTAAAATTAGCCTCGAAACTTATTAACCTTAATATTTCATGTCTATTGAAATTTCTGTCCCTTTCTTAGCTGATACGATCGATTTTCCTCTCCCTGACCACACTTTCAATACTAATAATAAAAAAAAGTATTGTTTACTCAAAGTAAAGCTACTGAAATTTGGCACATAACTTATTTTACTTATTTGGAATCGATTTTGTGGAAATTAACTAAATTCGAAAAATGATAAAATAAAAACTAACCTAATATATACATACATACATATGTAAGTAAAGTGTAATATTTTACTTTTCAGGAATGAATCGTTTCCGTAATGTATTTGGTAGTAAAAAATGCAATGTCATAGCCATGATACATGTTGAGGCTTTGCCAGGTAAGTTGTAATATTTGCGAAATGTTAGCATGTTTTAATTAATATACGCCGAATGTATATACATACATATGTATGATAACCGGTGAATACACAAACTAAGTAACCAATGATTTTCTACATTTCAACAAGAAAAATATTTGGATATGAAAGAAGCAACTTGCAGTGATTATCGTTTCAATTTTTTAAAGTCATCGTAAATGCGTAAGGAAACTGTAGGCGGTTATTTTTAAGTGAACTTATGAGATATTGTGGAAAATTTCAATAAGAATTAGCAAGTAACGTAATTGCGCACTCTAGGACCAAATTTTACTAGTATTTTGCATTCTTGGTAACGACGAATTGGTAACGGTAAATTGCACATTGAATTGTTAAAATACTCCTTTTGTTAAAATATTGGGCCAGAAAGCAACACTCGTAAATACTTATAAATACAATTAATTAGCCTGATTACAATTAATTTTTATTATTTGCTCTAATTATTTTTTTGGACTCTTAATGCACTTTATTTTAGAATAGTTTTAAGCAAATTATGTTCTGCTTTAAATAACATAAATTAAAATATAACTATATTCTGTGTGCAGCATTTAATTAATATTTTCAAATTCAGATTCGATTTATCATCCATTGATAATGAATATTATATATATAAATTTTATGTACATACATAAATTATATAATTCAAGGAACTCCGGGATATAAAGGAAGTTGGGCTCGAATAGTGGAAAAAGCAATAACAGAAGCAAGAAATTTCGTTAAAAATAAAGTGGTAGATTGCTCTTAAAAATATAATCTTGTGCTGTATAACTGTTAAGTTCTTTTAGGACGCTATATTAATAGAAAATATGCATGATGTGCCTTACTTGCCAAATCATCTTCTGGGACCTGAAACCATTGCCTGTCTATCCCGAGTATGTAACGAAATTCGGCAAATTGTGCCACCTATTATACCATGCGGTATTCAAATACTTGCTTGTGGAAACAAGCAAGCATTGTCCGTAGCAAAGGCAACCGATCTGCAGTTTATTCGAGCAGAAGGTTTTGTATTTGGTCACGTCGCAGATGAAGGTTATACAGATGCGTGTGCTGGAGACCTATTACGCTATCGTAAATTTATTGATGCTGAAGACGTGTTGATTTTTACAGATTTAAAGAAAAAACACAGCTCACATGCCATTACAAATGACGTTACTTTATTGGAAACTGCAAAAGCGGCCGAGTTTTTTTTAACTGATGGTATCGTAATAACAGGTAAATAAAAACCTTTTGTATGGACTTAATAATAATTTGTTCATCTTGAAGGTAAATCAACTGGCCAAGCCGCTAGTATGGAAGATTTGAATGAGGTATTGGGTCGAGTGAATTGTCCGGTACTAATTGGTTCTGGTGTAAATAAAAAAAACATCACACAATATTATGAAAAAGCGCAAGGCGTTATTATAGGTTCACATTTCAAAGTTGACGGCTACTGGGGAAATGAATTGTCCGAGACATCATTAACAGAATTTATGAATAAAGTAGAATCAATAAGAAACGAATAAAAAAATGTATTTAAAGAAATAACCGCTTAAGAGATTTTCGGCCGAGTTATACGACCATTCAAGTACCCTCGCCCTCGCTGGGGAGAGAGGAGATTTATACATACATATAGCGCTGGACTCAGATGGTGAAAAGCGCCGGAAGCAGTAATGCCTCAAGTGTCTCAGCTACTGAGGAAAGATGTCGGCTGAGAAGACTATTTGTTGGCTGGTTTCTCCGGCTTGAGTAGAGGCATCACCCTATCCATTTTCCACACGTAAGGAATTGTGCTCCCGCTGGTCCAAGATGTTTTAGCATTTGCATGCTTATTCTGTCGGGGCTGATGGATTTGTAGGCTTACGCCTTCCCGATGACCCTCTGAACCTACCTCCTGGGGAAATCAAGCGCCGCGCTGGTGTTTGGCAGCTCGCGGGTCACACGTCCCGTCTTTTTGCCAACCGAAATGCAGTGTAAAGAGTCTACTAAAATAGCCATGTATTTCTTCGGGTCCGACGAGGCGGTTATCATGTCAGCGGAAACGAAGTCGGGAGGTTGTCTATCGAGATTTGTTTGGGTAAGTAGTTCGATGCTGGTGTCAGCATAGGTCGTCAGGCGATACCGTTTATCAGACCAACACTCGCATTTTTCGTTTGGTAGGTCATTATCGTTCATGGTGTAGAATGTCGAATCGTCTACGGTCGTTTGACAGGCTAGAATGGCAAAGATCGTTATGCGCGTTAAGTCTCCTAAAACCAAAAGGTTTTCGCCTCAGAGTAGCGCACCTATGCCAGGGATACATCCAACGAGGCAACTTGTAACGGATCACTATGCCCTGACGTTCTAGGGTTGTATCCCTGCGTTTGATGTGACCATCGGTAAGACGATATTGCACGATGTTGTGTAAAATGATCGCTAAGCGCACCACTGCATTATACAATAGTTCCATAGACTGAAAATATTTCCTATCTCGATAATAACTTTTCAGCTTAGCTGCTGTATTTTCCATTTTCTATTTATTAAAATAAATTCGCAAAAAATTTATATACTCTATCAGCAAGTGATTCTTTTGAACAAACATTCTCAGTTGCAAACTTTTCATGTCGCCGGTTCGTATTACATTCTTTTAAATCAAATTTAACTCGTTTTTCAAGCGGTGGAAGTAGGATGCCGTCGTTTTCTTTCTGAAATGTATATTCTGATAGAGCTGTTTTGGTTTGATTCATATTCTTCACTGCCGATTCTGTTTTTCGTTTGAGGGCACTTTTTCTTACTTCATGACTGTTCTCTGCGGCTGTTGCTGAAGTACAACCAATTTTATTAAACCGGAAACAGCCTTTGTTTTCATCTTCATCTTCTGAGGACGTATTACAATTTTTATTGTATATTATGCTTTCGTATCCCTAAAATTTTAAATTAATAAATTTGATTACAGCAAATTATTTCAACATACCGATTTCCTGCTATTGGTATTTTCGCAATCAAAGTACTTGACATTCTTCTTCCTATATAATGTATAGAATTCTTTTCATTGAAAGCATGATAAAGAATATAGAAATGAACATACCTTGTGGGCTTACGTTTACTTGATTCCTTGCGCAATGTTCTTCGGCATTGAATATGAGTATCTATTGCATAACGTATATTGACAATCCATTCTTGTACAAGTTGTACATCCGGTGATTTTAATATTATCCCATCACCTTGACAAGTTATTTTGAAGCTGTCTGGAAAAAGTTCGTATACTTTACATTTTTTTAAGGGAAATATGCAACAACATTCCAAAGCGTTTTCCACAACGGTATTGATTTGTCGCTCCTTTAATATTTTACAATATAAGAAAATGTCGGACATTAGAACACAGTAACGCTTAATCTGGGTACCACTTCGAGATATTTTGTTCATAGTTCCTTCTTTTATAATTCTCCGTGAAGGTTTTACAATATTAGGAGATCTATTAATTATAGAATTCTGTAAATTAAGAAGTTTAAGAGTTACTTCTTGTTCCTCCACACACGAGTTTATATGCGACACAATGGATTCGATTTTTTTAACGGAATCTAAATAATAAAGAGATTGATTGTCTTTAAGTTAGTAGTATTTCAAAACCGAATATATTGTATAAAACTATATTTCTTATATATATATACAGCCATGGTCATGCAAATAGCACAACTTTCTTCCGATAATTGGCGCTTTGTAACCGCTGAAGCGATTTTTCGCCGAGATCCTCGTCCAATTTGTGGCTTTGCGTCTTAATGATTTTCCAACAAATGGAGGAACTTACAGTTTATACTAAGCCGTCTCCGAACAGCTGATGGTTTCCTTATGAGAAGCTTTATTTCATGTCAGAAATACACTCGGATTTGAACCCGAGTCTTCCGAATGGCAGATCGCAATGCTAACCACTCGGCTACCGCGGCCGCTCAATTAAAAAATAAATAAAATCCTGATTCATGTTTCATATAAATGTAGTTTCGACTAACATCCAAAATTAAAGAAATTAATTTTTTCACTTGTGGCTGCTCCTCCGCAGGGAATTTCAAGTATTTCTGATTTTAAAACCAAAGTTTTCATAAAAATCCATCCCCCAGTGCGGGTTAGGGGTTCAAGAATTTACCCGCGATAAAACTGTGTGTCGTAAGAATCGATTAAAATCCAATTGTTCCCGCGACAGTCGGGTTTTTATACCGGAACGACCAGAATTTTCATCCGGCCAAGGACTGTCACTCCCGCAACATTCCCCAAAAAATACTTTGAGGTATATTTTTAGGGTTGCAAAAACAACAACAACAAAAATCCATCAGCCTCTGCTGGTTAGGGTTTCAGAAGTTTACTAGTGGTAAGGCTTCAGCGGTTATAAAGCGCCGATATATATATATATATATATTATTATATATATATATATAGCTATTATATTAGCTGTTTAAAATTGTGATAAATTTAAGTGCACTATCATTATCGGATCCATCAATCCTGAGTATTTACATAATAAAAATTATTTTCATACTTTATTTTTTTTACCTATTCCCTAATTTCTTTATACTATTTTCGTTATTTGTTTCCAGAAAAGTGATGGTAGTTTTCTTCTTTTCATAGTTTAATCTTTCCACAAAAACAATGTTAGGATAAACAGCAAATTGGATTCGAATTTATAGGTTTTTTCTTACCTTTCAATAACTTAAAATCATTTTCAGAAGGACTCGTATATAAAAGCACTTGGTCTAATAGCAATTTATATCGAGGTAACCGTTGTATTGGAACAATCATGAGTGAATTTAAAGTTCGCTGTACTTCAGGACGTGTTTCAGTTTGCTCCTTAAATTTACGAAACGATGAGTTCTTACTGGTAATTTCCTGAAGTACAAGCAAAGCGTTTCGAAAGTCAAATGCGTAAACAGAATAGAGCTTCAGAAAAGGAGCAATTTTAAGAAAAGCCTTCGCAACATCTTCTTTATTTTCTTCAAGTTCCTGCAATAACTCCATATTTAAATTATATATCATCTCAATTTGTCCAAATAGAAATGTATGGCTATGGTCGTCTATCAAAGCTTGGTGTTTTATAGGTCGTACGAAGAATTTCATGAGCAGTTCCAATTGAGCAAGATAATTTCGTTCCGATATTATTACTTCTTCTATAGCTCTCATTCTATAATAGCTTCGTTTATCTACCTCTCCATCCGGTGAACGATATCCACAAGCTCCTGTAAGGAAAAGTGTTTGAATATACGTGGTTACTGAGTTTTACGTCGATGTAGAAATATCACCTTCTGCACTAATCTTTTTTCGGTTCTTCTCAAGCAGTACTTGTCGCAGTTCCTTATTTACTTCAGCAAATGGTTTTGCCATTTGACTTGCTATACCTCTTTCATTGAGAAGACTGTTTTTCTCACTTGTACTTAATGACATTATTAACTATAGTTAACGCTGTATTGTTTCGCCAGCAACTATTACATTAAAATCTAATATATAAAATAAAAACTGGTTTGTAGCGCGCAAATAAAAATACTATATAAAGTCAAAAATTTGAAACATATAACGCCAAATTAATACTACAATGGTATTGCTTTATCGATAAGTGCTTATAATCGATTTTAATAAGTCAACGACAGTTCACTTACACAGTGTCGTGTCTCGACAATTGTACAGCCTCCGAAGTTGGAAAACTTATGTTTTCGGTTTGACCCCGCAGCAGAGTTCACCTGATCGGTTTCGTTTATTCTTTCAGTTGTCATTCCCGAAAAATTCGCTTTTAAGCGCTGTGTTGCATAAACAAATATTAAACTGTGCGAAAAAATGTAAATTATGCCAACCAACATAAAATTCTACTCAAAATGGAAAAAATAATGACTTATATAAATATTAAGTACTCGGAAAATATATAAAACATTTCTTTCCACCTTACTCCATATATATTTGGTTATTTTATTAGCTTTTGATACATCTGATAAAAAAAATCTGAAATAGTAAAAAACCTTCAAAATACAACCATGCGCTATGGTTGGTTATTGCATTTCTTATTGTTTATATTTCAGTAAGCAGATTTCTTATTTGGCAAACGATGGTAAAGACAATATTGTTGCGAAAATGCGAGGCGAATGTCAGATGAAAGAGAGAAGCCGATAACTAGTACATTCTAGAAACGATAAAACAAGAACCTTCGATAGCGAACTCGATGCTTCTACGCTCTCGTCTGCGAGCAGCCGACTGCTATATAAGGGGACACTCAGCTGCCAAGTGAAGTCAGTTACAAAGTGAGCTCATTGGCGTTGACATCAGTTAAGTCGTAAAGTAAGCGCATTGGGAATTACATTTAAATAGAGTAAATTGTGAAAGTTGATGCAAGTGATTGTAGCTAGTAAAGTGCCTTGTAATTGAATTGTAAATCACTGAGTAAATAAAGGACATTAGATAGAATCTTTGTAACGAAAGAAACTGCAAATTAAGTTGGCGAGTTTTATTTAACAATCCAGAGATCGTACCCGAAGGATCTAGAAAATAATCGAGGTTGATTTAGTAAAATCGTAACAATATTTTCGTAATTTAAAACGTTTATTATTTTCATTTATTTTGGGATTGATAGATAATGAAACTGGTATTCGGCGTATGCAAACATATATGCACAACATTCGTCACTATATTAAGCATGCAGAGAGCACAACGCAAAGCGGCGTCCTCGGTTCCACGCTATAGCTGCAAATGCAATATTCATATTGCTTATCCTGTTCCCGTATTGGTGATTTGAATTAGGGAAGCGCTACCCAAATTAAATGGAACCAAATTTAAATAAGGAGTGACAACATCTTAGCCTTGGTGGCGACTATTTAAATGCCTTGAATTTGGTGCCAATCGGGCAAGAAAATTAAAAGAAGTAATTTTTTTCATACTTATGTGCCACAAACACTTCCACTAATTAACGCCGTGCGCGCGTGTAGGTGGTTGGATTTTGAGTGTTTTAGCATATTTTCGTTAGCTCGAACTACCGCGGTTAAACGATAGTTTGGCTAACGAAGTAGGGCATACACAGAAAGAAGTATAACCGCGTGAAAGGAGCCACGGAAGAATGAGAAACCGGAAGTTGGCGCGCAGGGCGTTTACAATTATATTTTAGGTTGCGCGCTTAAACATCCTGCCCGCCCTGTAGGGATGCGGTGGCTAGCACGTTCTACAGCGTTTACAGTTTGCGGATGGCTTCACCTATAGCTTCCTTGGTGGACCTGTTTCGGAATGCCCTGGTTTGCATCCCGGTGGTGGTGTGCGTTATTGACCGCAACCTCTCATAACTGTTTTTTTTATGGCCCGCTGCTTGGTGGCGCGCTTTTACGTGGCCCGTTTTTGGGTGGCAGGTGCTGCTGCTGTCGCTAGCTCGCGACTCTGGTGGTGGTCTGCACCTTCCACGGGAGTCACACTCTTCAATTGCTCAAGGCGTAGTAGCGGTGACACTGTAGGCAGTTTCTGGTATCTGCCTTCGGCGTGAGAGAAACTGCACTGCGCATTGCCATTGATATCCTTCGTCTGGAATTGGAAGGGCTCAAGTCAACGTCATTAACTTTACGCAGCCGTGATTGTAGCTCTGCCTTATTTCCGGGTTGTGGATACTCCTCCTTGACCATTTCTAGATTATTCGGGATTTATTTAAGAACCTCTCTTATGAAACCAGTTGTTACTATTTTTCTAATCAAGCCTGTCGTTACCATGTTGTCACAAACAAGTTCACTTTGTAACTGAACGAACTTGCGTTGGCCGCTCATATTTATACTCAGTTAATGGTACTCGTACTTAGTTCTAGAAGTTTCTTGTATGCTCTTACGATATTCGCGCTGTGAATTGTGCTTCAGTTACCGGTATCGCCATTTCATCTGTCATCCGTATTTGGCTTTTTCGCCACAGAATGATCTTTATTTATTTAAGTGGTGACTTGCATGAGAATCCTTTCATGACTGAAGCCTAAGATTATATAGGACAGGGTCAGTTTTCGAAATTATCGTATTTTTAGAAACACTGCTGTACAATGAAGTGACACACATTCACTGCCCCTGCCTTTATTGCGGCAAACTTCATGTGTTGAATTTGATACAGAAGACGTTTGAGTAATTTACTTTATTTACAATTTGATTTGTAACGCCAACTTTTGTTTGAGTTTTGCACATGCTTGTCGCTTCTCTCTTCTTCCGTATATATCTGAATCGTCCCAATTCTATATGCTGTACATATAGTGGATGTGCATTAAATTTATCATCAATATTTCTTCTCTTATTAGCGAATCCATTTTAATAACACTTTAGATGTGTTCAATATATATTTATGTAAAGCTTGTCAATAAATAAATGTCAAAAAACGTAAATAAAAGAAATTAGAGTGTCAAATAATGCAGTCACTGCCAAAAAGCCGTATTATGTTTGCAGCGGCAGTCACTGCAACAGCTAATTTTGTAAACGGCCACCGCCAGAGTGCTATTGTATTTTGGGCTTGGAGCTGAATATAACCGGTTTCTTCACGCTCCGATATTTTTTTATCGTCTGCAATAATTTGATCGAGTCCAGCAATTAGTGTATTTATATTTATTTATTTTCATTATTTGTTTCTTCATATTGTGTCATAAAATAACTAAGAAAAATGCAAAGTAAAGAGTTAATGGAGCAACGAATTGTTGCAAATATAAATGGAGAAATTGGGGGAGATTTCAAGAAGATTCATCGAGCTGCTTTATTGGTAGATCAGTACCAAAATTGTATTGAGCGTTTAAAGCAAAAAGTATGGGCGTAAATACAAAATAAATAAGACTGTGTCCAACAATTTACAATGTTTTTTCTAGTTAAACAATAGTCACACAACAATAAATGGGGATACAAGTATTAAATCGGCAATGCAAACTCAACGGACCACTAATCAGAGCATCGAGTTCCAATTAGAAAAACTTTGTCAGTTCAAGCTAAAACTATCACCAAAAATTAATGATGCCAATGAAGTTCTTAAGCATGTTTTTAAAGATCTGGAAAGCATACGTAAATTGCAGCAGTTCTCAAGATATTTGAAGATTGTACAAGATGTACAAGAGATCAGGTAAACAATGCAGAAAGAAAGTATTTCATTAATAATGCTAAATTTTCATAGCCAGAGTCTTTCGTTGGCTATTAATGGTAAAGACGAAGCTAAACTGGTCAATATATATCTCACGCTATTCGAGGATAATGATTGTGAAAACAGTGTAATTGGACGACTTTCTAACATCGATTCCCATTTTCTAAAAACTTTTGCTGTGAAAACTGCTATCCATTGGCACACAATTCTAAGTGAAAAATTTGCAAGGTAAAGTAAACAAGTCAATAATACGCGAAATCTTTAAACATTTGATATAATAAATAAAAGTGAACATAACCTAAAGCAGAACAAAAGTACTATTTAGGGTCTCTAACCAATTTTTTTTCTACATCAAAACATTTGATACAATTTTGTAAATATTATCACACGTCTTTTTTGTTTAGAAACTTTATAGCCGCCAAGTTATTTATTATATATTAAAAAAAATTTTTAAATAATTATATTATGTAGAACATAAAACAACGTGCTGTCCGGACACTGGAATAATTACATTTTTCATACATTTTCAGTTACTGAGCATACATTGAAAATTAGCTTAATTTTCATTCTATTCACCAAACAGTCGAATTTATTAAAAACTAAAAACTATCAAAACCATTCCCACTAATAATAATTTATAATTCTATCATAGAAATCTCTCCCCCACTAACGAAAAAATAAAACAACAAGTCTAGACACTTTCACCAAGCAATTCCTTTTAAACAACGGTGAAGAAATAACATAAAAATGAAACTTGAATTCTTATAACTAATGATTTTCTGATTCGAAAGATTTATTTTTATATGTACATATGAATAAAATTATTATTAGTTTTTTTTATTTAAAAAAAAAAAAATACTTTATATATATAATTTAGGAATATTTATAGTTTTCTGATTGCACGTTGCAGATTAATTCTTAATAATAAAATTAACTCATTTATCAAATATGTACACCTATTCTATGCTAGAAATAATTAATATATATTTTATGTTTGTTTTCAGTGAGATGGAACATATTCTGAAGTCAATGCGTTGGGGTTATAAAGAATATGATTCTTTGACATTTTCACCATCCCGGGAAAATGTTATTAAAGCCCAGCTGTTAGCTGAATATTTGTTTTTAGTAATTTATAATAAATATATACATATTTCATATTTCCTTTATTTTCATATACATATATATTTTTTTTTTTAGATAAAATCCCCAGTTGAAGAAACCGAACCGCTAGAAGTTATTACGCCTAGCATTATTTGCCAACCCATTAGTACTGTTACTAAGTTGTTGCTGGCTCCATACCAACAAAGGTATGTACGTTGTGATATCATGTAGGTATACTATGTATGAGAAGTTAAATATAATATTATATTAATAATTTACTATGGTACAATTCGCGGCCGAGCTCTTAGCTATCTAACATTAAACGTGTTCATGCGTGCCTCTCTGACCGAAACCCCTTTCCCTATTGCCAAAAAATCGGAAAATCGATTTTCACAGGTTTCACCAGCCAAATCATGCGCCATAGACAGGATCAGATGGTAATCGAGGTCAGGACTATAAAGTAGATGCATATGAATCCCCAACCAACCCCTGAGCTTCTGACGAGTCGTCGAGCTTCTTTGTCTGTTCATCCTTTTTCAAGTGTCGAAACAGCGCAGTGCACCCGTGGAACATCTTTTATAATTGACTGTTAAAACTTCGTCTTTATGGAAGAATAATTGTAGAATTTAACGCATTTCCTCTTTGCTGGTGTTCAACTTTTAAGTTAAGTGATCAACAGTTCTTCCGTTGTCTTTTATAGTACAAAATGACATCTATCTAACGCCATCTGGTCTAATCATATAGAGCTTAGATAACGCGAGATACAGATTACTAAGGCAATCTATTTCAAATCTAATGAAAGACCTTCTGCTTGATATATTTTGCGACCCCTGATAGTTAAACCTGGGAGTGTTGCAATTGGTTTCACTTTTAAATTGTATCTTATACGCTTAATATATAGAGATGTAGACATTTACCATAAAAAGCAACTCGCAATTTATTATTCCCACAGACCTATGACTTATAATATAATATAACCTAACGAAAGGGCTGAGAGCCGACATTTCCCACAGACCTATGGCTTATAATATAATTTGTAAATTCATACGTGTATACATTATTATAGTTTCTGCTCGTAGATATTCTCAATAATAATTGAAAAAACTGCAAGTTGGATATGTTATAAATGGCAAGATCAAACAATTCTAACACTTTTTACATTCATACAAGGCGAATTTATAGAAGGTGAGGTTGTCACATCATATGATTGCTTCTATTTCAACAAATTACACAAACATTATTACATTATTACACCGATAAAATACATTGCACGAATTTCGTTTTTGACTTTTCGAATCTAAGAAGGCACATTTTTGTATTCTTGCTACTACCGTGTACGAAATTGTCTTGCACACTTTTCTATCGAAAAGTTTTCTCGAAGACGGACCATGCCTACGAAAATTAGCTTTATTTCTAACGTAGTCATTGCTTACTCATTATATCTTTCAGAGAGGGTGTTCCTTTGACAACTTTCAAAATTGTAGTGTTTCCTTCCATAAGTTATCTCTTAAATCAATAAAGGCCATAAATCTTTCGGAAAATTTATAGTTTCGTTGTTCTGTTCAGTCCAAAGTAGCGTTATTGACAAATAAATCCTTTCTATTGATGAATAGCAGTAGTTCCTTCTCGGGTTATCGAAGATGAGATTGGATTCCGCTGCAACAACAAAATGTTGAATTCGCCTATTAGATTTGATATATCTTGCCGTTGATCTCTTTCGGTTGACGATGAGCTTAAATTCCCATTCACTTTGAGGATGCTAATTGAAGGTTGCACTCAGACTTCAATTTTTAGGCATGCTTTCATGTATATTTTATAAAGCAGCTGATGCTATGGACATGCATGTCTTTTATTTGCTGTAAGCTTCCGATGCTTCGTTGTAGTTCGGTTGTGTTTTTGTTGCAAGACTAGACTAAGTCATCGAGGTCAATTTACAGAAGGCCAACGAAACGGACTGCTTCAACGGGTTTGAACCAGAGAAAAGAGGTGTTTGATTAGTTGGTTTCAGAGGGCATGCATTGAGGTGGTTAGTATCGTGCGTGATCGTATTTCATGCAGGATATACGCGATCGTGTCCAGTGGTTATTGTTTAAATTGCGGTATTGAATCGTTTTAACCAAGTACTTCCTTTCTGCTGTGCCTCGGTGGAAATTAGGCTTCAAAGTAGGTGTATGTTGGCATCAACCCGACGGTTTCCCTAGTTGCAATTGTAGATGTTGTGCAGTGGAGAAGTGGAACAGGTCGGCGAAATAGCCGTTTCTTTTGAACAGAGATTATCAATGCATGCCCGCGAGTCTTGGCCCGTCGGATATAGGAAGTGCTTCTTGCTGGAGTTCACAGTTACGCAAAGGAAAAAATTGTCGGCGAAAACCTGAAATAGTTAGTTTGTCATGTCGTTCGGCTACCTACCAAACTATTGTCCACCCCCTTGTACTGAAAAAGAACAGAACGAACACTATTCCTGTAAGAGAAAATATCTATTCCGTTGCTATATTTATTTAGTATATTTTCTTCAACTAAAATACTGTAATAGTGTTACAATTTCTACGCAATTGTTATTAGATTTCTTGCAAAGCCTTTCCTATCCCTTTCCTCTTTCACTTTGTTGAAGTTCCTTCTAGGTCACGCTAATAGAAATATACACATTCATTCAGACCGGTAAGGCCCAAATCAGAATCCCTTCGAATCCCACAATGCTAGCGCCAGCGGTGAAGGAATCTGGAATGAGCTAAAGTAGGAACTGTTTAGTGTATGCCGATAGTGCTCTCGACTCCAATGCAGCATAATTCGTAACATAAAAAAATCGTGTTTACAAGCGGTTGAGTTCGCAAGTGTAGTGTAAACGAAAGAAGATTAAAAATAAGAGAAGTAGGCAACATGATAGGAAAAAATAGTTCACGAATAACCTTTAATCATGGCAATAGTTTTTTGTTGTAAAAATTATAGATAAAAAATAAAAAACCTATTAAAAAAATTACATAAGTTTAGTGCAATAATTATTATATATATAAAAGTATATAAAAGTATACAGATTAATGCGAAAATGCGTACACCCGGTATATAAATAACACTGCGCGACAACCGATTAGCACCCTCTCTAACCTATCAGTTTAAAGGAAAATAACTCCCTACCCTGAATATGTTTAATGCACATTCTATTTTTCCTTTTATTCTGGATCATTTTCTCTCATTCTAAGTATAACTGTGAGCTTTCGAAGTGTACCGTTATTTTGCTTTGCTTTTTTCTTTGAAGCGCGACAAAAATGCATGCATGTTTTTTGCGACAGCCGATTAGCACATTTTCGCTTTCGCCTTGATTGGGTGTTTAAATTTATTATTTATTTATTGGAACTAATTATCAATAAAATAAAGTAATAATGTTCAAAGAAAAACCGTTGAACGAGTCTGAAAAAGGCAAAATAAAGGCTTACAGGGAGTGCGGGCTCTCTATTCTCCAAATATCAAAAAATNACTAATTTTTACTAAACAAAAGTATTGGCACACTTCATAAAAACACAAAAAAATTATAATAAAATGGTAAAATATTAACGAAATTAATATTTTGTAGCCAAGCTTTTGCATTGAAGAGACCAATTATTGTGCACACTTTTAACCGCACCTAACCAGCTCTTCCCACAAATGTTCAGGCAGTGTACTTATGTTTACTGTGAGGTGCAAGCCACATACGCACATCCTGAACGGTATGCTTCGGATAATTGTCGTTAAGTTTTTCGGCAAATTAGTACTTTTTTGACATTCTCTTAAGAATTTCCATATAGTATTTTTTTGTCCTTAATGCCGTCAATGAAATTCAGCTCGCCCTCAGCTGCAACGGACATGCAGCCCCATACAATCACTCCTCCACCACTATATTTTATAGTCGCAGAAAAGATATCTTTTTGAAGTTCGGTGTTAGGTTCTCTCTACACAGTTTGACGGCGATCAGATTGAAAGATACATTGTCCCAAAAGTGAATTGGTTTGCTTAGGCACGCCTTAGTATAGGCTAAACGTTTCTTTTGGTTCTCTTTTGAAATGAGCGGCGTCTAACTGCACGAGAATGAAAGTTAGCTTCATGCAATGCTCTCCGGACCCTTATCGGATGAATATCCTTTCCCAACTCTTCCCTATTTTCCTCTGCGATTTGGGTGGAAGATAATCTTGGGTTTCTTTTTTACCTTTCTTACTATTTGGCAGCGTTCGCGGTTACTTAAAGCCTTGGGCCTGCACGTACGTGTTGCGTTTTGTAAAGATAAAACCCCCTCAAATCTCTTCTTATGGTGTAGCGGCTTCTTACCATCATTTCACCAAGTTCCCATATGATTTGCCCTTTTTATGCAAATATTATTTTCCGCTGGGATACCTTAGTTTCACTTTTTTGCCACTTATGTAGGCATAACGGGACTTTTGAAAAAAGTTGCTAGGTTAATCAAATTTAAGCGAAATAGTTCAGTGAAATTTAAGTCCTCTAGTTTGGTAAAAAAAAGTACTTTTTTTTAATTTTAAATTAGTATTAATTTAAAATAAAATAAATTGATGTTAAAATAGTTGAAAATGTGTCTCTCTGTCTTGCCTTTTTTGGAATTAAAAATATTTTCATAAGTGGTAAAAAAAGGTGTTAAAGTTGAACTATCTTGCTGTGTCAATACTTTAGTTCATCACTAAATGCGCATTTGTTTCTCTCGCGACTTTAACCGAAACAGAAAAAAGGAAGAGAAAAGAAAGAAGATTTTAATTGAAGGAAATTATATTTGATGATTGAAAACAATAATTTATTATACTAATCTAATATTGAAATATTCGTAACTATGTACCAATAATAAAAAATAGTGGATAATGACAAAAAACTCAGATAGCAGGAAAAAAGTATATGTTGTACATATATAATATTGGGAGTATACATTAATTAGTTTTTTTTTTTTGAAAAAATGATCTTAATCGTCTGGAAACGGTTGCTGGATCAACATCTAATACTTTTGCAAGTTCTTCTTGCGTCTGGCATGCATCTGTGTTGAGCAATGTCCTCAATTCTTCGTCTTTAAATCATTTTGGCTGTCCGTTGTCTAAGACGAAATTTCCACTTTTAAGCCGTGCAAGCCACTTTTGACACGTTCGTTCGGCTAAAGCATGGCCACCATAAACGTCCAGTAAAATACTGTATGTCTGTCGGTAGCACTTTTCTTCATGTTAAAGTAATGAAGAAGAACTCCCCGCAAAAACACTTTATCTGGTACAAATTTCGACATTTTCAAATGAATTAAACAAATTTTTATTCACGCTAAAACATATGACATCTACTGAAAACGACGCGAAATCACAGTACCTTTGAATTGAATATAGCCACAGATGAACAGGACGCGAAATAATACTAGTAGAGCCCTCTCTTAGAAAACCGCACGAATTAATGCATACACCCAATATATCAAGGTTCATGGATTGCAATGTTACGACAACCGTTGTCGTCACCGAACCAACTAAATACTTTAGTTTTTTATAAAAACTTTTGGTAGACATCACATACTATTTTCTGATTGGTTGATTCAATATTTGGACAACTATTTAAATATTTAATTTTCTTATACCGAGTTGTTGGTTAGTGCTCTCTGAGAGCAGGAGTGCAAGTCTAATAGAAAAGCGTTCGGCTGTCTGTTTTAATTACAGCTTTTTGACTTCGGACCTTTTTTGTTTTTCTTGAGGGGCACTCAGAGTCGATGTCAGGTCCTCAGAGTGTACGCACGACAAGAGCACTGGAGACATGTCTTCCGTTTTTCACAGCTATCATCTGGTTTGGGTTTTTCGATCTGGAGACGAGTAAGTACCTTGATTAATTTTATTGCGCTGGAATCGAAGAAGACATCCATATTTCGGGCTCCGCCGAAATCAATCACCGTCAGCCCACTTGGGGATATTTCATTGTTGAGGCTGAACTTTCCCTCAGTTGTGCCAGAGATAACCTCTTTGCCTACCCTAACGGCGAAGTCGCCAAGCTCTGGTTAGTACGCTTAATAAAGGTATCCTTTGTCACATCGTCCTTCTTTTCCGTCGTGCCATGGGCGCAAGTCAACGTTCTTCTGAAAAATTTCGTTTTGATGCGGATTGTTGTGAGACGTTGATCCACCGGAGTGAATACCAGTACTCGGCGACGGAGTCCCTATCCCACCACAAATCCGACACCAAATTTCACAAGGATCCACTTTCTTCCGTCCTTGTCCCGTCCATAACACATCTTGGACGATGGTGACGTCAGCCTTTAATTTTATTAGGACATCAACAAAATTATGCATTTTTTTTATTTAACCAATTAAAAGTAATTTTACAATTTATAATTATATTATTTTGCAAATCCATTACTTTATATAGTATAGATTTTCATTTAGTTTTTTTCATATAATTTAGAAAATATAGATATATTATTTTTATTTAAAGGTATTTAATTCGTGTTTAAAATGAATGAAATATAATAAATCCCATGTAAATTACCTACTATTTCTCTTACTTTTTAACTCCTTTTTTGCTACTTTTTCACTGTTTTTTAAGTGGAAGATATTTTCTCCCCCTTTCTACTACTTTCTGAATTGCAACTATTTGTAAGGGAGTATCAAAACCTTTAATTATTGAATCATGGGTAGTACCCATCTCTGATCAAAAACGTGTATAAAAATTCGAAGACCCATTTTATGAATTTAATGAGGCAATTTGTGGGCTGAAAACTTGGATTTTTGGCATTAAGGAAACTTGAATTTAGCGGATAGTTAACAATATAATATATGTGCAAGAATAAAGTATTNTTAGTTTTGATCTACAAACTATGGCCTTTTTGTGACAGCGGGACACTTTTTTTAAGATTAATTTTTGAGTAAAAAATACGCGAAAAACGGCTACGTACTTATCGATGCAAATACTTATGATAATGACTTAAAAATTCCGAAATGCGCTGATCAATTTATTCGACTCCTTGACGCCATCTCTTACTTTTAAACTCCTTTTTTGCTACTTTTTCACTGTTTTTTAAGTGTAAGATAATTTCTCCCCCTTTCTACTACTTTCTGAATTGCAACTATTTGTAAGGAAGTATCAAAACCTTTAATTATTGAATCATGGGTAGTACCCATCTCTGATCAAAAACGTGTATAAAAATTCGAAGACCCATTTTATGAATTTAATGAGGCAATTTGTGGGCTGAAAACTTGGATTTTTGGCATTAAGGAAACTTGAATTTAGCGGATAGTTAACAATATAATATATGTGCAAGAATAAAGTATTATTTTAAAAAAAAAAATTGGTACTTAGTACCTTTGTCTAAAGCCATTATTCTCATTTGGTTTAATCAAAACAAGCCACGCCTTGTATCTTGCAATCGCCAAATCTGTGGCTGCAGTACGAAAGTGCAGAAACAAAAATTGTGTGAGTTGAATTTTCTTCTACGTAAGAAATTTTTTCTCATATTTTCAAACATACATATGAAGAAGTTGATTTGGTAACGTCGCAACCTTACATTCTATAAACTTTGGTAGAAATTTAATGATACCGAAAGCTTCAAACGGAAAAAAATGTTAAGTTAAAAATAAAAAATGCCATAAAAGTTTATGGATATATCGGTGTTGTTTTCGATGCTTGTTGTGTTTATATGTTCTCGCTTATGTATTTACACGCAACCCAGTGAGCCACAAGACTGTCGTTAGAGAACGGAAGCAGCAAGAACGAGTGTGAGCACCGAATGAAACTCCCACTCGGCCAAAACGTCACACCTCGTCGGTTTCGATGTTGTTTCTAGGACCTTAAGTGTTCCTTCCACTTTTTACGTTTACACAGATTAAGATAATTAAGTGCAAGTGCTCTGATGAGAGGGTTGTTATAGATCACCAAGCTGCACTGCCAGGCTAGCGCTAGAAATTTTTGTCGACGTCATGGATTCATTTACTAGATTTTGGATACATAGGTTGCGTTTTGCGAAAAAATCGTATACAAATTTTTTGACTTGCATTTTTATGGGAAGTTTTTTGTTTTAACTAAAAGCCCAGATCGTGCACCACACATACATAGATAATCTATACACCTATATAAAGTGCAGAATGCAAACAGTTAAGGTAGAACAAAATGAAATAATGGTTGTGTTCGCCTCTGATTTCAAGATTTTATGGAGCAAAGGAACGCTGTATCTCAAATATAAATAGTTAAAAAGGTCAGATGTCCATATCTCAATACTTTTTTAAGTTAAATTTTGCAAAATTTTAGTAACAAAAAAAAATACATTTTTTATACAAATTTTATGTAATAAATCAAACATAAAAAATTATTAATTAAAAACAGCATATAAATACCTTTAATTTGATATACTTATTTTTTAGTTAATTTTCAATAGCGCGAAAATACTCGTGCACTACATTTTGTTTTTCATATANCAACAACAACAACAACAACAGCTGGTGAAATATAAGATTTTTTACATTGTATATTCAAAAAAATCTAATAGTTTCCATGAATTTATTATTATTATATTTTAAAAAAAAAATGCTTAATGCTCGCTAATTGGCATAAATTCAATAGAAAGAGTTTTGTTATCGTATATAATATATTTATAGGTTCGAATATCATTTTACCGGTGTACGTCAAACAAATCGGTTGGATAAACCGGAATGGTACTTCACACAAATACTAAATTGGGCCAAGGATGTTCATCTCTTTGTTGGAAAAACCTTTCAGCCCGCAGCAGTAAAAGCCGGAAAATTGGATTACAATATACGTGTAAGAAATTTTATATACAATAGATTGTCATGACATAACTGTAAACAACAGTTAGTTTGAGATAAATAACCATAACTATTGATTGATTGATGAAAGAATAGTTAAGGTTGTACTTTTTTCATAAATTATATTTATTAAATATATTGTATATACATAATATTTCCCCTTTGTAACCGTTGAACCGAACTCAGCTCCTCCTCCAATTTCTGGTGTTCGTCTTGATATTTTACCAACAAATGGAGGAACCTGCTGTTCATTCTAAGGCGCCTCCGAACGGCCGATAGATTTTATGAGGAGCTTTAAGTTCATGTCAGAAATGCACTCGGAGGGCTTGATAACAATAAAAATAACAAAATGCAAAACATAAACACACATTTTCACAGCCTTTACCCTAAAGCGAATTAATTAAATGAAAAAAATTGAATTCGCAGCTCTAGTAACTCCACCTTGACTAATTTGTCTTGACTCAATTTTAAGAAAGCGAATTGTATGCATTTGTCATGAATTAGAAAATTGTTACACTGTAAACAAAAACGAAATACACGGTAATTGTTGTTTTTGTTCTCCTGATCTCTGATTTATGAATTCGCCTTGAATCGTAGTTTCGAAAAGTCAAAAACGAAAATTGTTCAATGTATTTTGTTTGTGTAAACGAAAGCGCGATATGTTAAAAACTATTTCTCATGTGTGTATTTTGTTTGTGTAATTTTTTTGAAATAAAAGAAAGAACAAGCAATCATATGATGTAACAACTTCACCTTCTATAAATTCGCCTTGATTTATATGTTGAAAGTACCTCCGCAAATATGAGCATAAATGAGTGCTCATAAGTGGGTGACACATATAATATGTCCAATTTAATTTTATAAGCACTAAATTTGATTTTAATTATATATTTCGCCGATACTCTTTGTTTCCTTTTACTGTCGTTACTTTTACTTTGCACATAAAAAAAGCAAGACTATGCTTTACAAAAACAAGAAACATTTGAATGATTAATTTTAAACTTTTACCTACATACATATGTGCATACGTATATTTTACTATATTTTCAGTTGGAGTTTATTCGCGGTCTTGTCCAGTTGATAATAGAAAAACTTTCTGCAGACATCGAAGAAATCAGTCGCGATGAGCATTTATTTGCACATTTGCTGGACGAAACTTTAGCTTTTGAGGCTGAGTTGCGAGGAAATTTTGGTTACCCCACTAGTTTTCCAAGTGTCATATGCGTTGTAACTCAACCCGTTTATTTGATAAAATGGATCGCACTTGAAGAACGATGTAGGTATGAAAATAAAATACATATATAAAATATATTTTATATTCGATATAGTTTGTGCAGAGAAAATGGATCTCATTTTACATGGCGATAATCCTTGGATGCTTATCGATGCAAATACTTATGATAATGACTTAAAAATTCCGAAATGCGCTGATCAATTTATTCGACTCCTTGACGCCATTAGAGATCGCTATTGTTCTCTTATCCAACCAGGGCAGCAATTACAGTTCCTTGCGCTTCAAATAGAACTGATAGAAAATTTTCGGCGACGTCTTGTACAACTATTTAGCAGTGGGGAAGTTGGATGTATATCCATTTTGAATGCCATAAATTACTTGGCTTTGGTGCTAACTGAATGGGGTGAAAACGTTCATTATTTACATTTACATGCTGTGCATGTTGGTCCAAATTCAAATGAAATTCGCTCCGCTTTTGATCAGCCAGTAAGCGAGTTAGAGCATTGGACCCAAAAGCTTATTGATAATTTGGCAACGAAAGCAGTGAACGAAATAAAAGCAAAGTCAATGGCATATCGGCATGACTGTTGGTCTAGCGTACCAGAGCAAAATTGCAAAGAACCATTCATTTTGTCTTCTACTGCAGGAGAAATGTTTCAGGTAAGGTCAGAACAAAATGTGTAATTTGTTGTGTTTAATTTTGGACACATATAAAAAAAGCTTCGACCGAATTAATTCAATATTTCAATTAATATTCAGATTTGGCATGAAATATTTTAGTTGACTGTCTTAAATTTCTTGCTCAGGTAATGGTGACAACACTTCACAATTTGGAGCGTGATCTATCATTAAACCTATTTACTCTTACACTTCGCAAAATTGCTAATCAAGTGGACGATTTTCTCTTCGATAGTCTTGTAATGAATAACAAGTTTACTCCAGCAGGTGCTGCTCAATTTAATTTTGATATGAGTCGGAATCTTTTAGCGCTGTTCGGCCAATATTGTCGTCGACCAGATCTGCTTTTTAAAAAGTAAGTACATATAAATCAATCTTTTGTTGGAATCAATTTATTTTTAAACTTCAACGGTTAATTAAATCTCTTTCATTTTACCGTTTTTCACATTTTTGTGGCTTTTGACAACACAATGTGATTGTTCACCGAATATTTTGTGATAAAACATGTTACCTTCATTTTTACGAAGTTTATCTCTATCTCTATTTCGTAGAGTTCACGATTCGAATAAGCTGCTGAATGCCACACGAGGTACTGCATTGCTGTTATACGAAACTCTTAAATCGGAAACAAAGCTGGAGGAAAAAATGAACGCTTTAAAGGAATTAGGGATCGTTAATTTTAAGAATAAAACATGCATAGATGTTCTAGAGCGTCGAACTGATATAAAACTTCTTTGATTAAATATGGTTCCATGTAAATAAATTTATTTTAATAAGACCTAGTCGTTGTGTGTTACTAGTGGGAAAAATTACAATTGTAAGAGTTTTAAACAGGGACTGGAAATGTAATCAATATTTCCGTGACCGTATAAAGAGAATCGTTTAAAGAGAGCGATAGCCATTATTTCCTGAAGGATTTTTTTTGCTCACAATAATAGGGGGGATGTTGAATTTATTTTTGAGCACTAGGCTCCTATTGAATAATAGTATTTACTTAATTGCATCGAACTCATCTGAAGCTGCGTAGCCATTCGCAAATTACTTAAGGGAGCAAGCATGACACAAAAAAAGGAAAGTAGCTTCACTTAACATAAAATTTACAGAAAACGATTTTTTTGATATTATATCTTATTTTCATTTTAACTTCAAAATTTTGCCACTTGAAAAAAAATTATGTATATATATATGAAACGCTAAGCCGCCTGAAAATATTATTTTCATTAGATTTCAGAAAATACAATTCATAGTATGTACGTGAGTAAGTGAGCACGTTTACTTTTTCTTTATTTTTTTGTTTACATGGAACAGTTTTGCATTTCTTGTAATATATTTTTTTAATTTAAGAAAGTTTAAAATTAATCAAAAAAGAAATTGGTAGCACAAAAATAAAGCAAAATTCAAAAAATATTTTTATGCCAGATGGTTAATATTTTTAAAAAAATATTTTAGTGAAACAACCTTATATTTTATATCATGGGAGCAGGGATGGAAAGACAAACAAATCAGATATCTGATCTGATGAAATTCACTGGGGAGAAGGGAGGATATGCACCGTGGTCTATTGTGCCCTTCGAGTCTTTCACATTATTTCAGTCAGTAGTAAATCCATTATAAATCTTAACAGGATAGGGTTGATTGATTTCTTGTGATTTTGTTCCATCTGAATTACTAGATAGACCTAGATATATGTCATAAGCTTCTTGAAGCGCCAGTTTCATCTCCGAATAGGACGTGTTCTAGGGTCTTTATTTTAAGCTCACAGAACTCCCAAGCCTCATCACTAAACTTTTTTGATTGTTTCATCCCGTCACTAGTATACCAGTACCTAATCTAATCTAATTTTTTATTTAGCTCCTCTTGAATTGAATGAAGACCTAGGGAAGTAGGGCTCTGGTTCCTCAGATGAGATTGAGGCCGCTCCTCTCTGCTAATCCATTATTTTCAACACTTCTATGTCACGGAACTCAGATGTGCCGAACTTTGTTTCGTTCCCGACTTTATTAAGATTCATTTCAAATTGCCGTACCAGATGCGATTTAATTAAACATGATGATAATAGTATTCAGTTTATCCTGACTATCACTGCAAATTACTATATGTTGTATAGACTCATTTTTAAAATCTTATTGCAGGAATATGGGAAAAGGAATATAATTTGTATTTAACTATTTGATTGAGCACATTTTGAAGTAAAAAAATTTTCTCTAATTAATATTTTGTCATAAAATGGCGGTGAATTTTGAAAGCTGTCCGCGGAGGACCGATTTCTTCTGAAGGATGAGACCTAGAAGAGAAAAGCGAAACGTTTTATAGTTTTTTTTTAGTTTTGATCTACAAACTATGGCATTTTTGTGACAGCGGGACACTTTTTTTAAGATTAATTTTTGAGTAAAAAATACGCGAAAAACGGCTACGTACTACCAAAAAAAATGTAAATATTTGTGAAGCTACCATCAAAATTTCAGATAAATCGTTGCAATAGGCTCCGAAAAATTTGTCCTTCGCACGCTCTCAGGGGTTGCAACAAAACAAGAAGTTTTTTTTTCTAAGACCCAAAGGTGCCTCGTGAGGAAAATAAAATACCCCCAGATAGTTCGTTTCAAAGTTGGGTTGTGCTACTATATTATTTTTTCGTATATCCTTCAAGTTTTTTTTATTCCGTCTAGTAAATAGTACGGCAGAGAACTTAGAATAACGAGAAGGTGCAACTGAGTTTTGGTTCGATGCTCGATTGAAGTTTCTGCAGAGCTAGAAAATCTCGAGAAATTATTTAGTTAAAAAAATTAAAAAAAAGAAAATACTAATATTTAAAAAACCGAAAATATAAAATATATAATATATAAAATATATATCTAACAGCTATGCTACTCATAACATAAAAATATTTTTTATAAATTAAATTTTTTAATTTTTTGTTCATTACATTATGATTTATTTATTATTAAAATAAATAAAAACTAATTATTTGGAATAAATGGTATTGGCTCCTTCGATAGGAATTTGAACTAGCGTCAGAAGCAAAAATACCAAAAATGTACATTTATGCCGAAGCAAAGAAATAGAACATAGGTTTTTCTTCCCCTCATTCAAATAAGTATACGAAAGAATAAATTCTCCCCGCGAGCACTTCGCCAACAATCGACTTCGCTGATTTGCACAATGCGTACATTACTTTAAAGGATTATGCTCATTAGTTTATGTTATTGAAAGTTTGTAGTGTGTAGTTTTGCCAAATTATACTGCATTTTGAATGGATTTCATATTTCCAACATCTTTTAGATCTGAATTCAAATTATATTTTATGGTTTGAGGGCATTTAGGGAACATTAATTTTTGAATTGCAATACATTTGTTCGCCTTATCGAGAGTATGTTTGTGCGTAGCGGGTACAGAAATTTCTTCAACTTTTAATTTTTGTGAGCTGTGGCTTGTGGAAGAGCAGCGTGCGGGGAGAGGTTTTACTTGCGGCGTACGCTTTGTTGACTATGCGAAGAATATTTTTTGAAAGTTCAACTAGGCGACATATACGTATATATGTTGTCATAGTAATGTTGTACGTATGTACGCAAATGAAGACATAATGTGTACATACAAACATATTGAATAAATTTTTGGACTGAATAATCCTTAAGATTTAATAAATAATTATAACATTTAAGCCAAGTCATAAAATAAATTGCAAAATACTATGAAATGATATTATTTTAGATGATTGAAAAAATTAAATTTGACGATTAATTTTGAGAGAAAGTTCCAAATTCGTACTGAGAAAATTTCAGCCAATAAAAACTTGCAAGTACGAAAACCAGCTGATTGAAATTTTGTCAGGAAAACAAGCATTTATTTTTATTAATATTCTTCTACTTAGGGCAAAGTGTACCAAAGAGGTCAACAATTTCTTTCTTGAAAGTTTTGTATAATATTTCACAGACCTCACGGGCCTCTTTTATATAATTGGCGTTTTGTAATCGTTAAAGCGATTTTACAGTTTATTTTGAGTCGCCCGAAGGGGATAATGGTTTTTATGAGCAGCCTCTACTTCATGGCAGAAATACACTCGTTGGAGTTGACATTCCCTGCCAAAGAACGACCGCAATTCGAAAACTGAACTTGATTTTAAGTTTAGATTATTTTCATACATGGATGTTGGTCAAACAATGCCTTGAACTATAACCTTTATAATGGCAGTACGCAATCCCTTTTCAAAGTTTCTTTCATTTTTACTTTTTTTAGCGTTTAATGTACAAAAAGTGTTTAGTTTCAAATAAATATGTTTTTATTTATGGCTTTCATTTCATTTGTTTTGTTTTATCAGCTGACTTCGAATAATGAAAATGAATTACACTCTCAAAGATTTGCATGGCAAATTAAGTAATTCGGCAAGTATTTTGAATACCACATAATGATTTTATCGTTCAAATATTCAGTGCAGAAATCGAGTGTAAGAAACATCAATTAAGTTAAAAAGAGTAAAAACATGTTTATCGATAATGTTACGATATTTTATTACTGCATTGTTTGAATTGAAGGATAAGTGATTTGGTTGTAGATTTTGGGTGTTTTGTTTGCATAATTTATAATAATTATTGTTATGCAATATTACTGACTACTTTACATAGCGATTAAATCCTCATCAACCGATTTTGTTATGGAAAATATTGATGAAAGCAAAAGGAAACCACGACGCACACGCGGTACACCTGCATATCAGTACAGAAATAAATTTGCTTTTGCTTGGATTGCCTTGGGATCAGTGGTTTTTACTGCTTTAGCGTAAGTGTTTGGATATTTCTAGAATCATTTTTATCCTCAAGGTATTTTTTCAGGTACACTCCAGCATTCCAAAAGATTAATAAGGAGCTTTGTGGGGCTTTATTAGTTCCAACTGAAGACGAGATAGAAAGACGTTATTTGTTTGGGCTGCCTAAGCCACTGACTAGCAGAGAGATCCAAAATCATATAGACGACGGAAAAAAATTGATGTCTGAAAGATAAAAATTATAATGGATCGACAGGCTCGTAAAGCAAATTTAAAAAAATTGCGTTTGACGGGTATTAGACGTGATGACAAAAATAGTCTACGGTAATGTTTGTATATATTTATGTAATATCGCTTTAAAACTTTGTGCGAAGAATGTCCATAAATAAAATATAAAATGCTTTAAGTTGAAAACCACGTATTTGTTCTCAAGGAACTTAAAATCAAATGTTATGTCTTTTCTAGGAAAAATCTATCTGACAGTTCCTCGATATCAAAATATTTTAAATCGCCAATTACAAAAGAACATAAGCAAAGTAGCCCTAAGGAAAACAACGGATCGGGATGTGATAGTGATGTAATTGTTTCGGAACCATGTGATCACCCTGTGGATTCTTTTAAAGAGCTTTCTAACAAAAAAGCCAAAAAAAGAACTAGTCTTAAGAAATTTATTAATAAAGATGGGGCAAATATGGATAACGCCGTTAAAAAAGAATTTCTTAAAAATGATGATGAGGATTTTGAAACTCCTGTGAAGAGAGTTAAGAAACCTATAAATGTTCAAAGAGTACGCCCTGCCTCGAATCGTAAGAAATCTCGAGGTAAGGACCAGCCAGATATCAAATCGTCCCTAATGCGAAGTGAAGAAGTTTTTTCTAAGATTACGTCAGAATATTGCAAATATGATAACTTTAGCCCTGATGAAATACACCTAGCATTAGCTTTGTCAAAATCGCAAATGGAAACTAGCCACACAACCCACTTAGATTTAGAAGAAGATTCCGTTCATAAAAAAGTAGAAATCGACAATGGAAATTTGGATAACGTTCAAGATATTTTACGTCAATATGGCTTTAGAGCAACGTCTTCAGAAGGTAAGTAATAGTTGCTGAAAATATTTATTTTGAGTAACATCTATGTACAATTTGCTTAACATGTTCTGCTTAAAGTGAGCTTATAGTAATAATTGAGGATGTACAAATTTTTTTGGAGAATTTAAATTCTTGATATTGAAGTTTCCCCTAACTTTGAAAATCAATTAACAAGCTGTCCCCCAAATTTTGACTAGTTACGCAATTGAAACATATTTTGTGATGGCAGAGGAACCAACTACTAAAAAATACTAGATAAAGATAGATAATTTTAATTCAAGTTTTCAATAGTCCAGACAAGTGTACGCTGATTTAAATATTATAAACTTTTAACTCTTAAAGTGTTTAAATAAATATATATTATTTTCTTTGTAGTGTATAGCAGTTTAACAGCTCCGTTCTTACCAGGAGCGAAACGGCGAACCAAAACAAAGTGGGCCAACAAATTTACTGCATTAACTTTGCGTGATCCCAAGTACCAAATGAAAAAGCTGCAGGTAAAAATAAACGCTCTAATGGCTCAACAAGTTGACATGAACTCATTAGTTGTAGCGGAAAGTCAGAAAGGAACATATTCTTTACTCAGTAGTCATCTGCAGAAGTTGCAACCAAACAAATCCACGATGAAAGTGTTTGCCGATGAACATAGGGCGAATCTGGATGAATTTTATGTAAGAAGTTTATTTGAAGTGGCCAATGTGCAAGCGGGTTATTTGTTGAAAGATTGGCATGCTATTGAGGGACGAGATAAGTCACCTAAACATAGGCCAAATAAAATTACTAACTTTTCAAAGTTTGAAGACCATTATGAAAAGAAACATAATTTGGATTCAACGTCTCAAGGTGAAAATGCCATTTTGGAAAAGAATTCCTCCGAGTCTTCCATACTAACAAATAAGTATAAAGAAAGCATAAAACAGGAAGGTAACCTTCGTAATGAGAAAATGTGGGGAAACACCAACGAGAGCGTGTCAGCTAACGAGCTTTTTGAAGAAAACAGTCCAGACCATAGGAATGAGGTTACTCCGGAATTGAACAAATTAAATAATTCCATCAGCGATACTATCGAAAGCAATAGTTGCACCTCGTCGAAAAACAACTCGGAAAGTTTCAAAACTTTGTCTTGCAGACTTCGAATACTGTCTCCCAACATATTTGCGAGTTCAGAAGATGAGTCAGAGGAAAGCATTGTTCCACAAATGTTATCAGAGAACAAAATGAATGAATCAACCGAGAATGGTGAAGGTAAGAAATTGGGGTTTACTGAAATCAATTGTTCGAAGAAATAATGTAGTGTTGAATTATCGCAAAAACATCATTAGTGAAAAACTGACAGGAAACGAATGGGACAGCAAAGTACGAAACTTATTTTGTGCATCACATAGCGATATGACTGTTTAATAATTTTTTGAATTGAAAGCCCTTCGTGACGAAATTTAACAGTATAATAAAACTCTGACCTTTCTTTTTTAATAATTACTTTTGGTTTAATGAACGTTTTGAGAAGCCCTTAAATGTGTCCTTTTGTTTTTATGACATTGTAAATATAATATCATTTACATATATTAAAGATACTCTTTCTGGTTTTTTACACTCGTGTGATATGCAATTTTCAGGAGATGTCATCGATTTGACCCAGGAAATACCTTCAGATCAACCAGAAATTGATTCAAATGCAAAAGTTAACGAGAGTGTACCTATAGATAACTTACATAAAAATGAAGGTCACGGAAATAAGCTTGAATCTTTTGAAAACGCGAATTTAATTGTGACAAATACATTATATGATCAATTCGATGGTGAAGCACTTCCTACGACCCATATTTGTAGTTATACATCCTCGAATGAAAAATATGTGGACGGACTATTGCGTGAGACAGTCAAGCCCAATAAAACAGTTTTTAAGTCACCTGTAGTAACAGCCTCTGAAAATAAAAAGAATATAAGAAATACACCGTTAAATTTTAGTCGAAGTAAATCTGATTCATTTGCTTCCATCTCAGAAAACGCAAATTCGTCCGCTGTTGCAAGCTCATCTCTAACATTCAGTAGTGATAATATTAATGAGGATGGGGCAGATTCCTCTGAAGATTGTATAGTTTTGTCAGACGATGAAATTAACTATTCGATTTGGAAAGCCGATAAGAGCATATTAGAATTGAATGAAAATACCACGAAGGATGCCGAGCTAACGAACCGCATGGAATATCGTAATTACAACAACTTATGTTCACTATTAGATGTAACGGAAGAGCAGAAGGCCTTAGAAAGTAATACGGATAAAACACCAATACCCGAGGAAACGCTATTTACAGACGAAGATGCGTTTGAAGTGCGAAGTCCATTTGCAAAAGCGAATCGTTCTACGGAGCTTCTTGAGTTTGGAATATTAGATAATATTTCAGAGCCATTTACCCAAACATATGAAATTCTCAAAACTTCTACAGACCAGGCCGAAACTAATTCCTCTTTGATAGTAAATCATAACACACCACTTGGAATGGATGACTTACTTACTGGGGATATAAGTTTCAGTAAGATCAGGGAAACTGGGTGTTGTTCAGAAGTCAACACTCATATGTCTTCTTTGCAGCTGTGCACATATCCCCCTGACGAATATGAAATCGAAGGAAGAATTTATTCAACTCATATTGTCACCGATTCAAAACCAAACTTTACTCATCAAACTGAAGCAGAAATATTAAAGCAACTATATGAATTTGGAATAAAACCGTTAAAACGTAAACAAGCAGTGAAGATGTTAGAGTATATTTACAATTCAACGCATCCCTTAATACTAGATCAAACCCCCAATTTGATTAAGCAAACTGAGGGCGGAATCGTAGTTCATGAGCGCTCTGAAAAAAGTGATTTTGGACATTCAGTTTCCACGAATTCACCATCGGATACATTGCAATTAAAGGACTGTTTTGGCTTTAATATGAGGTCGTTTATACACAACTTACAGCTCGATTGTGAATGTGATGAATACATTTTTCAAACAAATATTACAAAGAAGGTAGGTACAGTTAAATAATCATTGACCTTTGTATGCTTTATTTAAAATGCTTCTCGGGTATATACATATTTCGTAAAACTCGTAAGTTATACTAGTATAATTTAATCAGTATTGGAATTATGAAAAAATAGTAGATGAATTTGGTACAGAAAACATGGGAGACGATAATTATCGAATGTTAAAAATTTTTCGCCAACTTCTAACCTAAGCCTGTTCAATTAATTTAAATATTTATCCTCCGAAATTGGGGCCATATGGAGGAATGTTTTTGAATGCCATTGAGCTGGGAGTGGGTAGGGAAAGTCTTTTGCATATGGTTCACTTCCAGTCTTAGACCAAGTATACACTGATTAGCCAACAAACATCTTCTTGGAGACGAGTTAAAAAGAGATGGCGAATGGATAGGGTTTGGAACACACTAACATGTACGAAGTCGGATGAGAGTCCGCCGTGTTAAGGATCACGATTTGAGGGCATGCATCTGGAATTTTCGGGACCTTAATTAGGAAGGTGGGAAAAGAAGGTATCTTTCGGACAACTGTCGGCTTATTAAACTACTGAAACAATTGGTTTTCGGCAATGCTAGAAAAAGAGCTGGTACGATGAGAAATGTCGAACTACCTCAGAACCTTGCGATGCACCACAACATGTACTGAAGAGAGGGAGGCAAGACTAATTTGTAGGCAAAAAAAGAAACAGGTTGAAATGCGTGAGCTTCAAAAGTTGGTCAACAAGGCTAATGCTCGAAAGTTCTACTCCAAGATGCGGCGATGTATGGTTTCAATACCAAGAGGTGCTTGATGCCCAGGATGTATTGAACTTAAGGAGGGAACACTTCTACTAGGAAGTTGTATATAACTTCTACTTGTTGGAACCAGTATTAACACCAACAACATTGTTATCCTAGAAATCTAGCGCAGAATTACTCTAGCCAACAGGTGCTACTTTGGGCTCTACAAGTCGGTCATAGTTCCCGTCTTGCTCTATTTAACGAGTTGGAAGCGGTGGATGGCGAACTCGTTTTAGACCAGGAAAATCAAGAACTGACCAGATATTCACCATACGACAAATTTTGGATAAACATCCCCTTTTCATCAATTTTAAAGCTGCCTTCTACAGCACAGTAAGGAGCTGCTTCTACGCCGCTTTGGCTGAATTTGGTATCTCCGCAAAACTTATACGGCTAAGTAAACTGACGCTAGACAACGCTAAAAGCTCAGTTAGAATTACGAAGAAACCCTCCTTTCGATACCAAACTAGGTTTCAGACAGGGTGACTCTTCATCACATTATTCGTTCAATTTGATGCTGGAGAAAATAACCCAGAAAAAAAGAGCCGAAGAGGCTGATATAGTATATAAGGTATAATCTTAATAATCGCGCTGTTCTACTCTCCCCAGGCTTGATAAAGAAGCGAAGCAAATGGGTCTGGTAATGAACGAGGATAAGATGAAATATCTCCTGTCATCAAACAAACAGTCTTCGCACTCGCGAATCGGCTCCCACGTCACTCTTGGCAGTCGTAGATAATTTCGTCTATTCAGCGACCAGCATTAACACAGAATCACTCTTGCCAACAGGTGCTAATTTGGGCTAAGTAGGCAATTGAAAAGTAAATCTCTCTCGACGAACAAAAATCAAACTCTACTAGTCCTTCATCATCTCCGTCCTACTATATGGTGCAGCAGCGTTGACGATGTCGACATTCGATTAGGTGACCTTGAGAGTCTTCGAGAGAAAGGTTTAGCGAGAGAAGAGTAGAGGAAAACCTGCTCTCAATTGGGTCCAAACAGCGAAAAGGGGGAATAATGGTNATTGTTCGAAAACGTTCCTGACCAGCAGTATCCCAAATTTGGAGCTACAAAAAATATATGTATATACCTGTACACTTGCTTTATAATTGATAGTACATAAGCAACCTTCTATACCTTATAATCGCGTAAGCGGTGCCTGTTGTAAGAGGGGGAAGAAAAATACCCACAAAAATACATATGTATATGTAAATGTGTATATGATTTCAATTTTAATTTCTTTTTATGTTTTATTATTTTAGTATATTTTATCATAAATGTATTTTATATATTATTTTGCCTAAATAATTTACTATATATATGTATATAATATTGTGCAATAAATGTATAGTTCAGCTCTTGTTTAATAAATTTATAATTATTAAAAGTACTTCGTTTGCAGACATCACGACCGCTGTTACCTTTCCATATCGCCTGGTATAATCTTGTTTCTTCCAATACTATTTTGCATGAAACTGTATTGATGTATAAGCCTATAGACTTACAGGAAATTTTTTTATTTTTCAAGCAACTTGGCTACCGATATGAACCAAAGGTTTGATTTCGGTTACCTATTCACCATACATAATTACTTATTTATTTATATTACAGGACATAAAAGAATTTCTTGACAGACGTTGTATAATTTTCCGCTACGATTTAACCCAACCAGACCGTCAAAGCAACCGTCATATCCGAAAATGTAAAACGAAGCCAAATAAAATTATTAAGAATATGTAAAGGAGAGATAAATTCGTAAATAAAATAAAATAATGCCTGCCCATTGAAACTGATGTTATACTGGTGTTCCCAATGCAAGACACTGTCATTTAAGTCGTTATTTATTCGTTTACGAATTTATAAATTATTGCCATATAAAATTTAGCCGTATTATTTATATATATATATAGATATTGCAAAGTATGACAAAAACTCCTTATCAAGCATCATATGATACCTATTGATAATTTTTTTTTATTATCGGATCTTTGTCTGAACGTATAAGAATAGCCCGTAGACGCAGAATAATAACATTGCGCAGCGAACATACTTACACATGATCAGTTTCGACCAACAACTGGGAAAATATTATTTTTTGTTTGAAAAAAAATTAGGGGTTGGTGATAGAAGGGTGAAAATCTAGGTTCATCACAAAAAATTATGTTCAAAATAATTACCACTTTAACCAATCGATCGAAATGCGGCAGTCATACTCGCGAATTATTTTATTTTTTACTGCATAAAAATATTATGCTTGGTGTCTTATATAATACTTTATAATCATAATTAAATTTAAATTTTATTTTTTGATAACCGATTTTCATTGAGAATGCGGCGAACATCTATAATCATATAAAAAAATAACGAAATTTGAAAGCACTTGAAAAATAGAATAGAATTCCTGAGTTTATTTATGACTTCATATATATATGTTATTTACTGTTTCTCAATGATATTGCGAAAAGTATCATAAAATTCATGAATAATTAAAATAACGGTCCATTGAGAAAATGACCTGTGAGTTGTCCAAATTCTAAATTATACAAAAATCAAATCAGAAATTAAATACAGATATATAGCTTAACTTATGGTTATAGAAAGTAGGTCGATCCCAGACACAACAAAGAGCCCAATATTGCGATTCCAAAAATTATAAAACATTGAGGGAGAAATGAAAGGAGTGTAAAAGTCTGCAATCTATCTTTTAGTACAAAGGGTGGTGAAAGGAAAGGCCCGTAACGGGAAGCCTCGTGATATATCAATTAAGGCATATAATAATAATGGCAAATACAACAGAGAGATCTTGAACGCCACTCTCTCTCCACACATCTCTACTCGTGAATATGCCATAGGACAACTATCACCTAATCCAGACAAAGGACTCAAGCTGCCCTGTTAGATCCGAGTAATCATGTCGCAGTTAAGGTGTGGACATTTTAGCACACTAAATTCCTACTTATCCAGATTTTCTTCTGATAATCCCAAAAAATATATGACCAGCATGCAAGGAGTCCTCGCATGATACTAACCACCTCTACAACCGAACCGACACATCAATAATAAACAGCGTGATAGGAAAATCGATTTGTGATTAGGAATAGCAATTGAAAACGATTGTTTAACAATTTGGTATTCAGAATTATAAATAATATGCAAGAATTTTTCTTGATTCAAATTAATAATTTATTCACATCTAAATGAATACTAGTCATAAAATATGGACTTGAGAGAAGCCCAAATAATGAAAGGTAAATGTCTATATTTGATAAAATATTTTGTGGAATATTATAGTTTGGACGAAATTTGTTGTTATAAAAATCGATCCATAATTTGCCCGATTTATTATTTATTTATACATGAATTTTGTACTTGATTGTAAGTTTTGACATATTACTAGAGAATTACATGATTAATGTACCATTCACACATATATAAATATACTTATACTAATGTTAAGCTTGTATTTAACTGTAATAATAATTAAACTTATGATAGTATGTATAGGTTAATAAATTAAAAATAACGGCTTGTCCAATGTTAAAATATCGAGTTAATTTTCGAGAACCTATGTTAAATTGCTGGCATTACTACAATAACTGATCGGTTTACCACATATTATGTTAAATTGCAAGAGCTGCTGCAATTATTAAGTGGTTTGCTGTGCCCTAGTCGTATGGCTTCTTCGTTGTCCGCTTCCACCGTGTTAGCATCATGGCGCCGCTAAAAAGAAAAATTATAATTGTTTTGTTAGTACGAAATGGTACTTGCAAGTTTGACATTAGTCGTGTTTTTATACGCGCATATTTAAAAACACTTAAATTTTCTTTATAAAAAAATCAAAACAACTGTGCTGTGTGCTGTGCTCGGCTAATAAAGAAGACTAATAGCCTGATAAGGCCATCTACTTTCAAACTAATATCCGCTACTTTTCTATTTCAATGTGAAGTCAAAAAATTTTATTTAGCTAAAAAAAAGTACTTTAAAGATGCTGACCAAAATGTACATATATATAACGCATTAAGTATTTCTAATGGGGATATGGGATATGTTGTACATTTGTTGAAAGAAGCATATACATACAAATATATGCAAATACAAATGACCTAAAAGCTGTTGTTGTTTTAAATTATAAGTTATTATTTACCTTCAATTCCATAGCTAAGCAGACAAAGGCATCCTCTACGTTTGTATTTTGCTTCGCCGATGTTTCCATGACAAAAAGTATTTCTGGTATATATTGGCACATTTGCTTCGCTTCTTCAAAATCAACTTCTCGTTCCTCATCAAGATCACATTTATTACCAATTAATATGAGTAACACGTTTGATGCCGTATAGCGCCGAACTTCTTCAATCCATTTTTGAAGATTCGAAAACGAAGATCTCTTGGTTATGTCATATACTGAAAAAATTTTAATTTATATATCTCGTTATTTTTTTAAATTATTCCTGTTTACGGACGGACATTTAAGGTATTTTTTTTTGAAATAGAATAATTTAAATATTACAATACATTTACTGTTCACGAAAAAATGAAAGAAACTTCAATAATAAATGGTAAAGCGATAAATGGTTTCCAGAAAACATTGTTGAAACTATTTCGTTCCCTGGTACACTCTCAATCGCATTTAACGGCGACGTGTTGTGGACAGTACTCGAGCTATTTAAAAAGACGTGCGCAATCCTGACTCTTGTATCTTGTTGAAGACTAAACTCAGCGAGAAACATCTTTGTGGCAAAAAAGGATTGCCTGCCTTGGTCCGAACTTACAGAATAGCTCGTGAAAAATGTATAAATGTTTCAAGATAGTGACTTTTGCAAGATGCTTAACGAAACTTGTATACAGATTTTAAAAAAATCAAAAAAAAGAAAAAGTTTACACACTTCAGAAGTACTAATGCTCTTGCCGCACCTCTAAAATATTGATATTTTGTGTCTAAAATTTCACTTGTAATGAGTTAACAGAATATTTTGAAGGGCGTACTTATATACAGCTATTAAGTTTATATACGTACCAATTATAACTCCATTTGCAGAACGATAATAACTCTGAGTAATTGTTCGAAAACGTTCCTGACCAGCAGTATCCCAAATTTGGAGCTACAAAAAATATATGTATATACCTGTACACTTGCTTTATAATTGATAGTACATAAGCAACCTTCTATACCTTGATTTGCTTTCCTTCAATATTAACGGTTTTCATAGAAAAGTCCACGCCAATGGTATTACCATGTCTTTCAATAAAATTTCCAGTTTTAAAACGCTCCACAATGCAAGTTTTTCCAGTTCCACAATCACCAATAAGCACAACTTTGAACAGAAAATCAAAACTCTCTTCATTAGGCAGTGCCATAAGCGTCTGTGGGTTTCGCGAAGTCATAGTGGGTTTTATGCCGAATATTTCTATTTATAATATTTTTATACAAATTTTTTTTGTGAGCACTATTATAAGCTATTGTGTTTGTTAGTAATGCACAACAATTATGCGACACAAAACAAATTGTGTTTACTGTCAAAGTCAGCTGATTAAAATGGTGCTACCAGCACATAACCATAGGCAACCACATTTTGTGCTTTGTTTTCACGAAACATAGAAAAAGTGGTGGCAAGCGAGAGAACATCGAAATGCTGGCTTAGGACTCCGGTTAAGCACTTAATCGGAAGGTAGCTAAAATATTGTTACGATTTTGCTAAATCAACCTCGATGATTTTCTGAATCCTTCGGGTACGATCTCTGGATTGTTAAATAAAACTCGCGAACTTAATTTGCAGTTTCATTCGTTACAAAGAATTTATCTAATGTCCTTTATTAACTCAAGGATTCACAATTCAATTACAATGCACTTTACTATTTACAATCACTTGCATAAACTTTCACAGTCTACTCCACTTAAATGTAATTCCCAACGCGTTTACTTTACGACTTTACTGATGTTAACGCCAACGAGCTCACTTTGTAACTGACTTAACTTGGCCCTTATATAGCAGTCGGCTGCTCGCAGACGAAAGTGTAGAATCATCGAGTTGTTCGCTATCGAAGATTCTCGTTTAGAATGTACTAGTTATCGGCTTCTCTCTTTCATCTGACATTCGCCTCGCATTTTCGCAACAATATGCTTTCACAATGTCCGGTTAAGGTCTGTCAATTAAGTTGTGGTTAACTTAACGCCGACATTGAGTGACGATTAGCTACAAATAGTAAAATAACAAATACAATTATATATCTTTACTGCTTCAAAGTTAATCTAATTAAAAGAATTTGGAAAGTACTCACTATCTGGCTGCGTCACTGAAAAGTGTATGAAAATAATTTGCGTAATGTTGAGTAAATAACTGTTGTTGACAATTTATTTGATTTTATTGTGATAACACTGAGGATCATAACGATCTCCATCCATGGAGTTTGTTCAATTGAGCAATCGGATGGTCTTTGCACTCGCTATTGCGTTCAAGCAAAGAACGTACATATATGTATTCTCCGTTTCTCTACAGTTTCTGGAAAAGTTGGTTGTTGGTTTCTGCACCTTAAGGGGTATGGCCATAGTAGCGGGTAAAAAACCATGTGCAAATGTAATATTTTTTTTNACAATGCCTTCTCTTATTTTTCGGAATGAGTCTGAGACTCAAATAAAGTGTTTGATATTTTGCTATTCACTGTAAAACAGGCTATCAGCTTACGCTATGACTGTATACCGCTCTTCTTCTACGCCTCTTAGCAATTGGCAGACCTTACTACCTTGCATTCGAGCAATTGGCGTATAAGAGAAATTAAGGGAGGGTCGACGCTCATGCAATTCAGGAAAGAAGTAACTGCGCTCTGCACAATATAAATTACACACCAACGAAATTTTTCTCACAAAGAGAGAAATTTATTTATATAGCTACTGAACTAGGGAAAGTGGAGTTTTTGTCATTAGCAATCACGGCATTTAAACAGTCCCAGCGAACTTCATCTCGCCATAATTACATGCCTTTTAAATACATTAAGAGTGATAATAAAAGAAGATAGAAGATCTAGATAGTTCAAATCTGAATGTGAATTATTTGAATGAATTCGTTCAGCAGAAGTGTGAAGTGGGAGTAGACAAGCAAGAACAAACAACAAAGATGGTTTGTCAACACGCGAACATGGACACTTCTCATAAAATTACTTAAATTAAACTAAGCGGTTTCAGATAAGAAAAGTTTAAGCAGCCATATCAAGGAAAATAAGAAAATCAAGCAAATTGAAACATAAATTTAAACGATAAGCTACCAACAAATTAAATGTCAAGTGAATCGAATCGTTACTCCATTATCTCGCATGAATCAGCCCTCGAGATTTTCTTAACAAAGTCGAATTTTCTCTCGCTTGGATACAATATATCTAATCTGCATAACGCTATGCAATTGCTCGGCTTTTACACACGGATATATATAAATCCAAACCATAGAATCGATTTTTTCGAATAGATTCCTCATAGGTACTATTCATGGAAACAAAAGTAATGTGCTTGCTAACCTAAGCATAAGGCTACCGATGAATCAAATTTCAAGTAAATCGAGCTAGAAATTCAAAATTTTTTAATAGAACAGACACAGGTCCACTTCTCGGAGAGAAGTGAAGTCTTACTGTTAATCTAAGCAAAAAGTCACCAATATACTGGATTTCAACTAAATTGAATCATAATTATTTTTTTTTTTTTTGAATACGTCCGTCCCTAGTCCTCTTCCCGGAGAAAAGAAGAGTATTCCTCTTAATCCAAGCAAGAAGCTACCTATGAACAGAGTTTTAAGTGAATCGGGCTACAAATAAGACTTTTTCGAATAGGTCAGTCCTCGGTCCACTTCCCGGAGAGAAGAAGAGTCTTCCTGTTAATCAAAGCAAAAAGACACTTATGTACCGAATTTTAAGTAAATCGAACCATAAACATCATTTTTCCAAATAGATCAGTCTCAGGTCCTCTTCTGGGTTTGAAAAAAATAGATGCTAGCCGATTCTTAGATCTACTGCACATAAAATGTCATTAAAGTCGGCCAAGCCGTTTCGGAGGAGGATCGTGCTTAGCACTGTGACACGAGAATTTTATTGTATATAATACATATAATAAAATAAGTAACAAATATAAATTTATTTAATTTAATTGGATGATAACAACGATTCAATCAAAGAGTAAAGGTATATTTCAAGCGAAAATGTAGTGGCAGTGGAGTGGGATTCACGCCCGCACATCATATGGCCTTCATTGAGAAATTGGAAGTCGCAAAGGAAGGCTTTTACTACCGCCATAATGACGATAATGTATTCTTAAGCTTACGAAATCAAGACGATGCAGCGAAATGTTAGTCGTATCAAAATGAAAAACAAAACTCTTGTAGAATATGTTTGGATTTTGTGCAAAAAAAAAAAAAAATCCAAGAAATTTTATAATTAATATTACTAGTTAATACCGAAAAAGATTTCCAAATTGAAAGTTTCATAAATTTATTGGAAAATCATAGAAACATATACTTACATTATGGTGGATTACAATAATTTTTACTTTACTCTCACCGTACAGAGCTTTATTTAATTATTTACCTTATTGCTTTACCATAATTATTTACTTTATATATAGAGAGACCTGGAATTATTCTAATTTTAATTTCTATGATATAATTATATGTAATAAATGATTTGTAACCGATTTTTGGTCATTTCTGGGTAAATGTTTCATCCAAACTAATAAATTTTTTATATGCTCTATCCATTATTGACTAAAATTCATTTGAAACTTTATTTAAAAGCTCATTAATATTTGTTATGGTAGCAACTACCTTCGAAAATGGTATTAAGGGATTCTAATGAAAAGAAGGAGAAAAAAAGAAAGCTGGTCGGATGTCAGAGCTAAGATAGATGAGTACTATGAAATGGTGTTTTTGGTTTTTTGGGTCTCGGGTCGTTGTCGAGCTGAATTAAAATATCTTAATGTAACATACCCATTTTGTTATCCTGGAATGTAACTTTTCTTAAACATACTAGAAGCTGGAACTGAAACATTAACAAAGTTTTCAAAGCGAGTTGTTAGTGTTGCGTTCTACCATTCTGAAGGTCAAAATTGGTCCCTGCATTTGTTGGAAAAACAACAAGATGCGTACTACAAATTGAATGAGGAGCTCCGCCGAGCGTTTACAATATATATATACATAAATATATACATATAACATAGTGTATAGTTTTATGCTTTATACCACTGAAAAATATTCTTTACATTTCTCTTCAAATTGGTTTTCCACGGCTGCTTGAATCTGAAAAACTTCGTCCCCGTAACTTTCTTTAAATTTGAAAAAAGTAAAGGGTCACTGAAAGCGAAATTCGGACAGTTGGGAAGACGCCGGTTTCTATAAATCCAGTAACTTTTAAGGCATCTCTCGCAACCCGAGCGATGTGAACGAGCACTGAGTCCCGCAATTAATATTATCAGTAACTACCTTATGTCGCGAACTCTGCCGCTCCTCGTTTATATATGTATATATTTTGGAGAGAAAATTTCAGTTGAAGTAGATTTTTTTTATAGAGCCCCCTTTGTCTAAAAACAAAAATTTTTATTTCTTCTGAATACTTTTAGAAAATTGCGGATTTTGGTTTTGATTTATTGTGAGCCCTCTATGGAAAATGCAAATCTCTATCGGTTCTAAAAGCAATGTCTCACACTGTATTGAATTTTCGTAAGTTTTTAGCCAATATTGTCGCGATGATGTAGATTTTGAAAAATATATGTATATTTTGAAAGTTGTAATAAAAGTCTATTCAGAAAAAGAGCATTGTACACCGTTATATTACATTTATAGTCGTTTGATCTTATACTGCGAATTAGAGTAAGTTTCATATCAAGTGTTCTATGACTAGACAAAAGGAAATTGACGTTAATACGTACCAACTGCATATAAGTATTGTATATACATATTATATTTAAGTCATATGCCGCTCTATTAACATAATTTGTTTAATAGAAATGACGAGAAGACCATTTTTATATTTACATTATACAACCATAAAAATTTATTTTTACTATGGTGACCGAGGAAAGATCAGGCCAGATGTCAGCAGGTATGATTTAGTGTAACTTTCAAATACGGGCGTTAAGGTAATTTAATAATTAAACAGTAGATTTTATTTCATACTTATTTAATATTTTTAAGAAAACGTTTGCATTCACTTTCGAAAAGTATACGAGTACGTATGCATTTGTATAGGTAGGGTAAAAAGATTTCCACAGGTTTTGCGAAGTTTATTCTATAAAAGCAAAAAAATTAAATGAGAAATTGAAAAGTAAAACCCATAACCATGGAAAAGATCAATTTCCCATTAATCCATCATCAGAAGAGTGAAGGACTAGTGTTTTCGAATTAAGAGTTCATTCATTATCTCCAATCTTTTTCTGTCAACATCCACGTAACATACCCCTTATCTCTGATCTTCGGTGGCTTCAGCATTTATTAACAAGAACGAAAAGCTAGTGAATAACTGAATAACTGAGAAATTTAAAAGTTAAGTAAATAACTATGCTTCACATCTGAATGTTAAAAAGTCGAAAACACCTGCCAACGAACGAAGAGCATTTAATTTCGTTAGACGATTAGCAAATTTATTATTAATAGGTGTTGGTCCTATAATTCGCTATGTAAAAATTTAGGAGAAGTACAAGAAAAATCAACCTGGTAATATATAAATGTGTTAAAAAATATAGAATTCGTTTAGAAGGAAAACTTATATAAACGAATATATATATAATTGGAACTTTGCAGCCGCTTAAGCGATTTTTGGCCGAGCTCCTCCTCCGATTTGTGGTTTTCGTCTTGATGTTTTTCCAAAAAATGGAGAGGCCTATAGGTTATACTACGAACGGCAGATGGTTTTCTATGAGGGGCCTTTTATTTCATGTCAGAAATACACTCGGAGGGCTTGACATTCCCTGCCGAGAAGCGACCGCAATTAGAAAATTTAGCTTAATATTTTATTTAAATTAATTTTCTATAACTTTTAGATGTTGATCATACCAGGATCTAAACCCGAGCTTTCCGAATGACAGTACGCAGTGCTAACACCTCAGGCTACCGCGGTGGCACATTTACCTTAATGTCAGTGTTAAAATTGTCTGCAACGCACTTTTTTCTTCTGAATTTTTTGGCTACATATATAATTGTGCAATATACAATAAATCGTAAAAATACAAGTCGAGTTCAATAGTTATCTGAACAGTTGAACAACATAAAAATAACTACGATAACTAGCTAAAAATTGTCATGAGCTAGAGTTACACTAATAAGATAGAGTTTACTCAGTTTAGCCATGCCTTCATGAGAGCATATTTTAAGCAATCTCATAATACTTTTCCAAAGTCTATCACAGGGTTAGAAGTGTTAACAAAATTAGATCACCACAGAGGATTACTTGTGAGCACTTATGAACTGTCACACAAATCTAAAATGATCTGTTAATGACAAAAAGGAAAAATCTTTGTTAGGAATGCTATACAAACGCTATCATTTATATTTTTGGTATTCTGGATAAACATAAAGCCATTTAAATGCCCAATTATCTTCCAATTTCTTCAAAATACGAAATGTTTATTAAAGGGTGGTTTTCAAGAGCTATAGGAAAATGCATGGAATCTTTAATTGAAACGATAGTGCACCGTGCATATAATTTAATGTTTGAACATTATTTCATGCAAATGTTGACCGTGACTGTACCTCAAATGGTCCATCCGCTTAGTCCAATTTCGGCATACCTTTTCCAACATTTCTCTCGAATAAATGCTTCAATGTTGTCCTCCAATGCGTCTATTGAAGAGAGTTTGTCTGTATCAGCATTATATTTAACATGGCCTCTCAAAAAATAGTCTAAAGGCGTTAAATCGCACGATCTAGGCGGCCAATAGACCGGTAGCGAACGTGATATAAAATGTTTACCGAGCTCGCCTCTCAATAAGTCCATTATTACGCGTGCTGTGTGGCATGTGGCACCGCCTTGTTGAAGCCACATGTCATACAAGTCAAGCTCTTGCAATTTGGGCAAAAAAAAATGTGATAGTATCTCACGCCCATAAACCGCAAAAAACTGTGACCTTTTCTGAATGCATTGGTAGCTCTTGCAATTCTTCTGGCTGATCTTCACTCCAAAATCGACAATTCTGCTTATTTACATGATTTAGTGTAACTTTCAAATACGGGCGTTAAGGTAATTTAATAATTAAACAGTAGATTTTATTTCATACTTATTTAATATTTTTAAGAAAACNATCATTTATATTTTTGGTATTCTGGATAAACATAAAGCCATTTAAATGCCCAATTATCTTCCAATTTCTTCAAAATACGAAATGTTTATTAAAGGGTGGTTTTCAAGAGCTATAGAAAAATGCATAGAATCTTTCTTTGAATCGATTGTGCACCGTGCATATAATTTAATGTTTGAAGATTATTTCATTCAAATGTTGACCGTGACTGTACCTCGAATGGTCTATCCGCTTAATCTAATTTCGGCATACCCTTTCAATTGAAGCGAGTTTGTCTGTATAGACATTATATTTAACATGGCCTCTCAAAAAAATAGTCTAAAGGCGTTAAATCGCATGATCTTGGCGGCCAATAGACCGGTAGCGAACGTGATATAAAATGTTCACCGAGTTCGCCTCTCAATAAGTCCATTATTACGCATGCTGTGTGGCATGTGGCACCGTCTTGTAGAAACCACATGTCATACAAGTCAAGCTCTTGCAATTTGGGCAAAAAAAAGGGATAGCATCTCACGCCCATAAACCGCAAAAACTGTGTCTTTTTCTGGATGCATTGGTAGCTCTTGCAATGCTTCTAGCTGATCTTCACTCCAAAATCGACAATTCTGCTTATTTACGCACCCATTAAGCCAAAAATGAGCTTCGAAGCGCGCGCAGAAGAAACGCGCAATGAACTTTCTTAACAGAGCACGCATTTCGATAATAAAATTCAATATTCATGGTTAAATTATAGACCAAACTGAAGATGTTTGACAGTGATACAAAACACCTAACGTGCGTCAGCTGTCTAAAACAGTGTTGCCAAACAGATAATAGCTAAAAAAAATCACCCTTTAGTTCCTTTAAAAATCACATATTTAGCAAAAGCTTTAGTAGCACCATTTGTTTAAACCAACTTTAAAGCTGGGACTCTAAGAGATAACGCCAACTTCACCTTGGCTATGAATAAGTTTACGAAAACTGCCATTTATTCAGTTTATCGAGTTGTTTCTGTAAGTATTATTTTGGTGTGAGCGTTAAGAGACAACAGAGAGTCAAAAGTAAGCAATAAAATCCGAATAACAAGCACACAACTGCTATATACCCACATCCATATGGTCAGAAGGAAACCAAAATCACAACCATATAGTACATGTACATACATACATCACAGGCATTAATCGAATATTCTTACAATATATACTCGTTTGTACGGACAAATGCATACTAAACCACCACTGCAGGTAATCGTAGCTTCAAGTCGATGTTACGAGCAGAAAGAAGTTGGTCAATTTGTAAGTTTGGTTTAGTTAATTTCAATCCACTTGCGCGCGCAGTCATATTGGACATTGCGGAGTATTGTGATATTTCGCCGTTGGCTATTTTGCCAATTTTTCCGCGGTTTCGACTACCTATTTTGTTTTCACGCTCAGTTGTGCATGATCAAAGGATCCAAAAACGTTTCACATTAATTGTGGGTATTTTTTAAACAAAATATACACATATTATAATGTTAATATATCAGTGCAAATGAGAAATCCATAAATGTTTCTTATATCAAAATAATGTTCACTGTGGAAAACAAATTCAATAAAAGTCTAACTGAATAGATGAAACAGAATACACTGTCTTTGCTATATTTTAAAGGCTGAACATATTTGGGACCAAAATAGTAGAGAACAACAACAACTACAATTATTGTTTGAGTGTAAAAAGTTTACATTTTTTGTTTGATTGCTTGGCCACCTTTCTGTGTGAAGTATTATTCGCTTAAATACATACAAAAATATTTGGTAAGTCCAATTAAAGAGACTTACATTTATTTACGAAATAATTTATACCTTTAGAATTATATACGAGATTTAAATAATTTTAATAGCGGAAAGTACCATCAAGTGATTAGTTCTTTCTGTTATATCAGAGTGCTGCTTATATTGTAGTAAATGAAATGTTCTATTATTCCACAAATGTTCATATTTATGTCTATAACATACTATTTTGTCAATGAGTCGACTTACTTGAAATTTTAAGTGTTTGGCGCCGAATCGCTAATGGTTTTTGATGAGTAGTCTTTATTTCATGTCTCATATACACTCGGAGGGTTTGCCTGTCCAGGGGTGACCGCAATTAGAAAGTTTAACTTAATTTTTTATTTAAATTTATTTTCTATAACTTTTTGGATGCTGGTCGTGCCCGGATTTGAACCCGAGCCTTCCGAATCGCCATACACAATGCTAAACACTCGACTAATATTTAATATTACAGCTTAAAATATTTTGATTTGATCTATTACTCCAATAAAAGGATAACGAAATAATTGACATTTAATATTATTTCTATCAGTTTGTTGACAAAAACCTGACAAAACTAAAAAAAACCCTTCATTTAAAGGTAATATAAGTTAATAATAAATTTTCTAATTTTACAAAACCACATTCATATGCAGGGATTGATCAATATCAGTTTTAAGTTTTAACTACGTAAAACAAACATCGTGATCAAATTAAGATAAATATAATTTAAAATTCAATCAATTCAAAAAAATCATATGCGTAATTCGGAATCATATTTGCAGCAAATTTAATATATTGACTGGAAAGTTTTCCAGCTGTCACGAAAACTTATAATGCAATCTAAAGCTTTGATTACGTATAAAAATGAATAAATAAATCGCAAGTACAGACAATAATTATTTGTGGCTGTAAGGGACCATGTTTCTCTCATTAGCAGCCGAACGTTGATTGAATATTTTCTGAAAGCCCATTGAATATATATTCTTGTTTTAAAGAAGCATTGAAGGGAAATGCTATTAAATTATAAAACGAATCAAAAATTTGCCTTGCATTTTCAGAAAGGAATGACAAGCCCCCCGAGCGTATTTCTGTCATGAAATTAAAGCTTCTTATAAAAGTTCATCTACAATTCGAAGACAGCTTATTTAGTATAATTAGTAGATCTCTCTATTTGTTGGAAAAAGTATTAAGACGCCCAACACAAATTGGAGGGGGTACTCGGCCGAAAATTGATTCAGCTGACCAATTATATGAATATATAAGTACTTATATATATATATATATATTTAACGAAGGAATAAGTTTTTAAAGATTTATGACTATTCTTGGAGAGGAAATTTCAGTTGCAGTAGATTTTTTTCAGCATACGCCATTTTGTTTAAAAGCTAATTTTGTATTATTCCTTCGCTGAATAACTTTAGGGTATCCACCAAACGGTCCTCTTTGGCGGTCGCACCGGTCATCATCTACAGAAGTGGTGGCCATTAATATTTTTGCATACTTGAAACGCTATTGTATTCTAAAAATTAGAATCTCCATCACTTGGAATTGATACGTGTTCGTAAGAACTTTTTCTATAAAAGATAAAAATTCAGTCTAAGTGGATTGTTTAAATAAAAGCGATATGACTTTTCGATCAATTAATTTATTCATTAAATAATGAATTAAGCACTCACATTGCTAATATGCCTTGGTATTAACAATGTTACTTATTCTGTAAAATAATCTGCTTTTCCATCGAACGTATCAAGTAAGCAGCTGCGTGGAGCTCAGACAAGCCTTTATACCAACGAAAGGAAACGGATATTGAAATAAAATAGAAGAAGTGGCTAGGCCAATAAAAATTTTTAGCGTTGTGATTTTAAAAATTGTACATCGTATAAAATAGAACACCACGCAGTTTTCTTTAATGTCTACTTACCCAATTTTCTACTGTAACCATTAAGAATGTGCATTTATGTATATTCAAATTTTCAAGTAGAGAAATTTTACTGTAAGAGCCTTTACAATTGTTGTAACCTTTTTCGTACAGAATTGAAGTGGTTTAAGTGCCAAATGATAAAATTTAAATATTTAAATTGTCCTCTAATTTATTATAGTCATAACAGGGGAGAAATTTTATGTGCAAGTTTTTTAGATAAACGTACATATGTTGCATACGCACATATAAACAGGTATACATTCTTGCATACGTAGGTGCAAAGGTGGGAAGATTTTTAATTGAAAACTTCTATCCTAACAAAAGCGAAACTCACACCATCTAGATTCAAAAACTATGGTCCTCCTCAACTTCCTATCATCCTAATTCCACGAAGGCGGTTACGATTTCTAACCACTGGTGTAAGAACGAAAGTTTTAGGCACCTAATTTTTTTTTTTATATCCACTTTTATTGTTTTTTTCGAAGCTTCAAGTTATTCAAAGCCAAATATATATATAGTATACACAAAAGCATATCAAAACCGGAGATGCTATAGGGATATACGCGTAGCCATACAACTCATCGCATATATGTACATACATACACGTATATATACAACAGTATGTGTACATACGTACAACTTAATATATATGAAGTTGTCAACAAGACTAGTTGCATTTCTTTGTCATTCTGGTCAAGTTTAAGAAGCCTTTTTGCAGTGAAACCAACAACAATAACAGTTCTGGGTGCGTGCACGGCTGCAACTGGATTCAACTATTTTTTGTCATTGTAAGCGAGTTTGATGACTCGTTTACGAGGACGACTTCCAAATGTGCCTGAATTTTTTTTTTACCTTTTTCTTTTTTCTCGCATCACCAGTCAATGGCTTTCGTTTTCCGCATTTGCTTGATTGGATTCTGGTTTTCCCCGACGTTGCAGGTGTTGTTGCACATTGATTTTACTGTTGTATGAATTAAATTAGAGGAATATTGCCACGAGAGGAATTTGAAATACGTATATATACAAACATAAATACACGCATATAAGTATGTACGTGTATGTATGGATACGATGACTTACACGTAAATATAAATACATATGTACGAGTATACACATAAATACATGTTAAATTTACGTGTTTTCAATTATCTGTCTACCCGCACCTCTTCACGCTTATGGTAATTGGTTCAACCGATCTTTAATTGGCGGGGTGCGAAATTTGGTGTCATACTGGCGACTAAGCATTTAACTTTTTGCTGAATTTTTAGTTGAGATGACTGACATTCAAGTGCGGAAGAAATCAAAAAAGTAATGAAATTGTGCGTTGCAAATGTAAATTAGGTCGCAGTGAAATGCGCGAATCCGGCGAGGTGGCAGATATGTGATTACATATGTATGTATGTATATACGAATAAAGAAATATGAAAATAAAAAAGCGCGATAAACATTTACTTCGATTGGAATATTAATTTTTGTTACAATAGCTGTATGCGGGCTGAAGGGATTAACATTTAGTGAATGTGGTTGCAACACGGCTGGGAATGTCACCCCCTGAAATTAAGTTTCTGTCATGAAAGTAAGAATCTCATAAAAACCGATGGCGACTTAAAACTGTAGGGGGGACATTCAGACACACACCACCAATTAGAGAAGGAGCTCGCTCTTTTAACCGGTTTAAGCTCCAAGTTAGCGTTTCTTAAAAAAAAAAAAAATAGAATGTACTTAGGTTCAGATTAGCGCAAATGCCCCCTGATTGTATATACGAAAATTTAAATTCCTTTAGTAACGACCGGACCATAAACCGCACCAAAAAGTTATATGCTGAGAATAGAGAGGCTTTTCAACAATAAATCTTCGGTTTTCCGAGCCCCAGATGCGACAGTTTTGGTTATTGTTGTAGCCATCGAGATGAAAATTGGCCTCATCAGTCATAATGATTTTCTATGAAATTCCGAGTACTTTTCAAGCATTTCAAGAACCCAATTATCGCAGAAAATTAATGCTTCAAAAGAGACATTTACCGGAATAGCAAGCTATTCTAAATAACACCTCTTATTGGAAAACTTTACAAAAGAATACAGCCTATGAATGTGNGACATTGTTTCCAAATCAAATGCATATTCGAGTGTGCGTTTACATCTTAGGCTTTCACAAGACCATACTTCTTCTGTTTTTCAGCTAAATTATCGCATAAAGTACCGTTTTAGTTGAGACCTGAAGATGATTTTCGTCGGATCCCGATTTCGAACAATCGTTGGAGAGATTATATATGCATTTTTCACATCTATCAAATATTACATATTCCTAATTCGCCAATCACTGCGCGCCATATTTGCATCAGTTACTATATTTCATTATGAGGAATAAGGCTATAAAACTCTTTGGGTGCGTCAATTGTCGGTTAGCGTGTTAGTTTTGGCGTTAAAGATTACTTTTTCCATCTTATTGATGTAGCTCACTTAAATCGTAGTGTCTACATTTTCTTTAAGTCTCTATTGTTTAAATCAAACACTACGTCATGAGTAATAATAGATGTATAAAAATGTTAGTAACAATTTCCCTATACCCATAGATATATATATATATTTAACGAAGGAATAAGTTTTTAAAGATTTATGACTATTCTTGGAGAGGAAATTTCAGTTGCAGTAGATTTTTTTCAGCATACGCCATTTTGTTTAAAAGCTAATTTTGTATTATTCCTTCGCTGAATTACTTTAGGGTATCCANTCTTATCCTTAACGCGATTATAGCCACCTCCAGTCTTTTGCTTTTATTCTGCTTATTCTTTTTGACAAAAGAAAACAGCGAATGTAAGGAGAAAAAAAACGTGTGAAAAGGCAAAAACCCTGAAAGTGTACATATTTCGGTTCAGTCTTGTGGGCTCCGATGTGGGCCGAAAACCTATTAGTATTTCCCAAAGAAATTATAAGAAGGGCAATGTTCCTATGGTCTCTAGCCATTAAGCACAAGGTTTTCCAACAAGAGGGTTTACTTTGATATGTAAGTAAGGTCCAATAAAGCGGCCGGACCATAAACCGCACCAAAAAGTTATATGCTGAGAATTGAGAGGCTTTTCA